GAAATAAATTACATACCCCACCTTTAAGTAAGATTTTGAATGCAAGACTTCTAAAATGTAGTTTTAACACATATATAAATACTTGTGCATGCTAAAGGATGGATCGAACCATGTAGCTGCACACACACACACACACACACACACACACACACACAGTTGCAGATTAATAATGAGGTACATCTGTGCAGCGTGGGTGATCTAATTCCTTAGAGCGACATGAAGAGTGCCAAAACAAAAGGAGCTGCATGGAATAAACACAACATAATAGTATTGAACACACACACACACACACACGCATACACACACACACACACAAACACACACACACACACACACACACACACACACACTCCTTTATTTGGCTCTCAGCGGGATCTGCACTCGTCTCCTCTTTCTCTGCCATTGATTCGTCACTCTCTGAGATGTTACTGTGGAAACAGAGACGACCCCCCCCCCCCCCTCTCTGTGTGTTGAGAGTCAGTAATTTACGCCTCATCTCTCACTCCGTCAGTTTCTCACTTCCTCCTGGTTTCAATCATCTGTTTCTTTTCTCGTATTTCGCTCCAGATGTTTTATCACCTCTCTCCTCCTCGTGATTTATTTTGTATCTCGCCATCTATCTCCAATCTCTTCCAATTCCTCTGTCGATTTATTTTCAAATGTTATAAATATATTACATATTCTTTCATTTCTTATGTTTCTATAAAAAAAATGTATTCTATTTTTAATATAATTTATTTTGTATTCTATTTTTTTTTTTTTTTGATTTTTAATTCTTTCTTTTCTTTTATATTATTTAAAATTTAATTTTAATTTAACATTCTTTTTTCTATCTATATTTTTTATCTGATTCAATTAAATTGTTTCTCCCCCGCAATACTCTGCAAATAGTTAAAGGGGACCTATCATGCAGAATGCACTTTTTGATGTCTTCTCTACATCACCATGTGTCCCCGGTGTGTCAGGGAACTCACGCAGCGTCAGAAAATAAAACCCCTCTCTTTTCCTCCGTACCCAAATCTCTAAAACGGGGGAACAACGGAGCTGATCCAGATTAGCGTCCGATATGACGTAATATCTGAAATGTGGACCCACGGCCCTATCAGAAACGTTGCTATCAGAAACAATGCCAGACTGTTTTGTACGTAATATGGTCGGTGTTTACATTAGCATCGCTAACACTCAGAGCTAACCTGTACTGGAGAGCATGTGTGTGAAGAAGCAGGAAATAAAAAGGAACTCACCTTGTGGTATAACCGGCAAGAGAGAAAGCCTTTGAGCTCCATACTGTTTCAGAGAGAATCCTTGATAATCCATGATATGGCGTTTCATCACGGCAGCATTTAGTTTAGACAGTAGCTGCCGGTGTTCCGGATTAACTGGTTTCCCGATCAACTGGGGCACAGATGTGAGGGGCGTGGCCTTCGACTGAAATACACATTTCGATCGCTTCTTCTGTCGTTTACATAAATCTTTTGGTATATTTGGCTCGGTAGGAAGACTTTGATGCACATTCAGTACCAGTGTGTGAGGTTGTGGTTACGATGGCGATATCCGGACGCGAACAGCGAGGACTACAAAAAAAGAAACGAGATGACTGGGGATGTCTGTTCAAAACATTGCGAGCTCCAATAAATCATTAAAACCAGCTATTGTTGCCCGATTTATCACTGAATATCGTTCCTAATGTGATACTAAGTCCACCTGAGACCTGTGTACACCTTCAGACAGCCTCCAAGTGAAGCACACGGTGTTTACTCACAGTTTGAAAGCAGCGTGGAGAAGTCTTCATCTGTGTTAAACTGTGACCCGCTCAGGTAAACGGCGATCCGCCCAGGGAACTGGGACCCGCCCAGGTTAAACTGTGATTCACCCAGGTTAAACTGTGTTAAGACTTCTGTGGCTATCTACCAGCGATCATGTTTAATATGAAAGACTACACACTCATGTATCCCTTATAAAAACAGTATTCTGCAGCACTCATCCAGATAAGATGTGACTGTTAACTCGTTTTACAAAGATAGCAGCAGAAATGTCATTGCTGCATGTGCAGGGATACTTAGACTTTAAAATGCTGATGGGTCATTAATGTTGGTCTCGGCAAACAATATTAGGAGTCCTCTATTCAAACCGTTTGAATAGAGGACTCCTTAATATATATTAAACATGATCGCTGGTAGATAGCCACAGAAGTCTTAACACAGTTTAACCTGGGCGGATCGCCGTTTACCTGAGCGGGTCCCAGTTTAACACAGATGAAGACTTCTCCACGCTGCTTTCAAACTGTGAGTAAACAACGTACGCTTCACTTGGAGGCTGTCTGAAGGTGTACACAGGTCTCAGATGGACTTGGTATCACATTAAGAACGATATTCAGTGGTAAATCGGGCAACAATAGCTGGTTTCGATGATTTATTGGAGCTCGCAATGTTTTGAACAGACATCCCCAGTCATATCGTTTCTTTTTTTGTAGTCCTCGCTGTTCGCGTCCGGATATCGCCATCGTAACCACAACCTCACACACTGGTACTGAATGTGCATCAAAGTCTTCCTACCTTGCCAAATATACCAAAAGATTTATGTAAACGACAGAAGAAGCGATCAAAATGTGTATTTCAGTCGAAGGCCACGCCCCTCACATCTGTGCCCCAGTTGATCGGGAAACCAGTTAATCCGGAACACCGGGTCCCGCATGAGCTCAGCCCCTCCTTTTTATTTTATAAAGCTTTATACCCCAAATCAACACTTTAGAAACAGGAAGTGAAATAGAGGGATATGAGGCATGGCTAGAATGGGTGATCTGTTTGGTATTTTGAGCAAAACACTTCATAGACATGTTTTTTATATATTTTATATATCTGAGACCTAAAAATAGCATGATAGGTGACCTTTAAATCAGATGTAATGCTTGCAAAAACTCCCCATTACCAATCAAACATAAATAATTAAAAGTGTCATAAAACAACATATTGTACCGCTGCCTCTGTTCTTGAGCAAGGCACCAAGCATTTCTCCAGCAGTTGCACCATTTTTTGTTTAGTTTAGTTTATTAGTTTATAGTGTCGTGGACAGTCACAAAAAACATTAAATGTTGAAGCTTTATCCAAGCTAATTTCCAGCTGTTGTCCTCCAGATGATAATAGACACCTTTTTAAAATCACAATACATCAACAGCATTAGTTATAAAGAAAGGATGAAAGAGAACAATAAAATGCAAACAACACACGTTACTAGATAGAGAGATAGATAGACGAGATGAGTATACCGAGAGATACGACTAGATAGATAGATAGAGCGAGAAGATAGATAGATAGATAGCTAGATGCTCGATCGATAGATCGCATATGCTCGCTGCGAAGCTATCGCTGCTGATGGCTGATAGATGATAGTAGATAGCTGGCTGCTATGCTGGATGGATGCTCGGCGCTAGCTCGCTGCTCAGCTGCTCGCTCGCTGGCTCGCTCGTGGCTCGACTGGCTGGCTCGCTGCTGGCTCGCTCGCTCGATCCGCGCTCGCTCGCTCGTGGCTCGCTCGCGCGTCGCTGGATCGCTCAGCTCGCTCTGGCTGCTCCGCTGGCTCGCTGCTCCTGGCTGGCTCGCTCGCTCGCTGCTGGCTGGCTGCTTCGCTCGCTGGCTGGCTGGCTCGCTCGCGCGCGCGCTCGCTCGCTCGCTGGCTCGCTCGCGCGCTCGCTGGCTCGCTCGCTCGCTGGCTCGCTCGCGCGCGCGCTCGCTCGCTCGCTGGCTCGCTCGCTCGCGCGCTCGCTGGCTCGCTCGCGCTCGCTCGCGGCTGGCTGGCTCGCTCGCTCTCTGGCTGGCTGGCTGGCTCGCTCGCTCGCGCGCTCGCTCGCTCGCTCGCTCGCTGGCTGGCTGGCTCGCTCGCTGGCTGGCTCGCTCGCGCGCGCGCTCGCTCGCGCTGGCTCGCTCGCTCGCGCTCGCTGGCTCGCTCGCTCGCTGGCTGGCTCGCTCTCGCTCGCTCGCTCGCTGGCTGTGGCTCGCTCGCTCGCTCGCTCGCTCGCTCGCTCGCTCGCTGGCTCGCTGGCTGGCTGGCTCGCTCGCTCGATCGCTCGCTCGCTCGCTGCTCGCTGGCTCGCTCGCATGGCTGGCTGCTGGCTCGCGCGCTCGCTCGCTCGCTGGCTCTCGCGCGCTACGCTGGCTCGCTCGCTCGCTGGCTCGCTCGCGCGCGCTCGCTCGCTCGCTGCTCGCTAGCTCGCTCGCTTGCTGGCGGCTCGCTCGCTCGCTGCTGGCTGGCTCTCGCTCGCTCGCGCGCTCGCTGGCTCGTCTCGCTCGCTCTCTGGCTGGCTGGCTCGCTCGCTGGCTGGCTCGCTCGCGCGCGCGCTCGCTCGCGCGCTGGCTCGCTCGCTCGCTGGCTGGCTCGCTCGCTCGCTGGCTCGCTCGCTGGCTCGCTCGCTGGCTGCTGGCTCGCTCGCTGGCTCGCTCGCTCGCTCGCTGGCTTGGCTGGCTCGCTCGCGCGCGCGCTGCTCGCTCGCTGGCTCGCTCGCCGCGCTCGCTGGTCTCGCTCGCTCGCTGGCTCGCTCGCGCGCGCGCTCGCTCGCTCGCTCGCTCCGCTCGCTCGCTCGCTCGCTGGCTGGCTGGCTCGCTCGCTCGCTGGCTGGCTGGCTCCTCGCTGGCTGGCTCGCTCGCGCGCGCGCTCGCTCGCGCGCTGGCTCGCTCGCTCGCGCGCTCGCTGGCTCGCTCGCTCGCTGGCTGGCTCTCTCGCTCAGCTCGCTGGCTGGCTGGCTGGCTGGCTCGCTCGCTGCTCGCTCGCTCGCTGGCTGGCTGGCTCGCTCTCTGGCTAGCTCGATCGCTGGATGGCTGGCTCTCTATTCTACCCCTGACCTGTTCTTGATCAAGTCACTGAAATACTAAAGTGTCACTCGTTGTGTGTCTGTTTGCTTCACATATACCATGCGTACTGTGTGTGTGTGTGTGTGTGTGTGTGTGTGTGTGTGTGTACAGACTGCCTGTTTGTGTGGTCTGATCAGTGTGTCATTGTGTGTCCTCTCTCCCTCTCTCTCCTCCTCCCAGTTCCTCCAGAGGCCATTGGCTTCCTGTCAGCTGTTGGCGTCTTCATCGTGGCGTTGGCCGTCCTCTTCCTCTTCATCAACAAAAAACTGTGTTTCTCTCGCGTCGGGGGAATGCCCTGTCTGGAACAACATGGCCGCCGGAAGAAAGGTCGAGTGGGGATCCGCCAGGGGCTCGGTGAGTGAGACGGTGGCATATATTAGTGCATGTAAATGGTTTTCAAAGGCTAAAATCCCAAAGTTCCCTCCAGAGTGACTTTCTCTCCTCCAATGGACTCCTTTGTTTACTTTAGGAACTATAATGACATCATCATATAGTGGCAGTGTGTCATATAGGTTTTAGTGCATGTATATGGTCTGCAAAGGTTACAATCCTAAAATTCCCTCCAAGCTTAATTGACCTACATTTGATTGACTTTACTAACTTATAACTTAACTGATAAGGCAATAAACCTCTAGTGAGCGGCCCAGCCCTTTGTATGTTTTTCTGTATGTGGCCCTGAGTGAAAAAAGTTTGGACATCTTTAAAGTAGAGACACTACATAGTGCATGTAAATGGTCTGCAAAGGCTAAAATCCCAAAGTTCCCTCCAGAGGGAGTTTTTCTCTTCCGCCCCCTCCTTGAAACGCCTCCAATGGACTCCTTTGTTTACTTCAGGAACAATAGTGACATCACTATATAGTCACAGTGTTTCATATATTAGTGCATGTAAATGGTCTGCAAAGGCTAAAATCCCCAAATTCCCTCCAAACTTAATTGACCTACATTTGATTGACTTTGCTAACTTATAACAACTGATTAGGCAATAAACCTCTAGTGAGCGGCCCAGCCCTTTGTATGTTTTTCTGTATGTGGCCCTCAGTGAAAAAAGTTTGGACACCCCTGTTTTAGTGCATGTAAATGGTCTGCAAAGCCTAAAATCCCAAAGTCCCCTCCACAGTGACTTTCTCTCCTTCGCCCCCTCCTTGAAACGCCTCCAATGGACTCCTTTGTTTACTTCAGGAACAATAGTGACATCACTATATAGTGGCAGTTTGTCATTTAGGTTTTAGTGCATGTAAACGGTCTGCAAAGGCTAAAATCCTTAGAAAATCATCCCAAGAGTCAACAAAAGTGTCAAGAGTTGGTCAAATGGATCTCCATAAATCAGACTTTAGGAAACAAAAATCACATTTATATATTTTGTTTACTTTTGAAGTATTTGGCATTTCCTCAGAGCTCTGGACTCTGAAGTTTATGAAGCCATTTATTCGTTTTTTAAACAGAATAAACCCAGGAAAGGGAGATTATGACATAATGGGGGTTTATGCTTTAATAAACTTTTGGATTTTAACCTTTGCAGACCATTTACATGCATTAAAACCTATATAACACACTAAAGGAAAGGAACACTAACAAAAAAGCATGTAGAGATATTGATCTCCCTCTCTAAAAGGAAGACTAGTTCCCAACATGTTGAAGTGAATACGAGAACATGTGAGCGCGCTGTTGCTTTCACACTTTCGTTGAATATAACCTTGAATAATTCAGAGAAAGAAACTGCATTATAACTCCTATTAAGCCCTTCAGTAACGGAGGAACAACGTGGGGGAGGTTGTATTTGCGCAGTGCTTTCTGTGGGCGAGATTGTGCGTATGAGAGAAAGACTTGAGTGAGTCAGACGTAGAAAGCTCTGCTGCGGCTCACAATGAAACATCAAATATGAACATTAAAGAAACCTTGAAGAACATTAGAGCAGAAGAGAAACAGAGAAAAGGGTTTTTCATTCTCTGTTTCCGTCACACAGTAAAACTTCTTCTTTCCTCCCACGCTGAAAACACAGAGCAAAGTTTACTTAAGGAGAATAAAATGAACATCAGCAGGAGAGGACTCTTTAAAGGAGAGACACTACATACTGATATACACCTGAACATCAGCAGGAGAGGACTCTTTAAAGGAGAGACACTACATACTGATATACACCTGAACATCAGCAGGAGAGGACTCTTTAAAGGAGAGACACTACATACTGATATACACCTGAACATCAGCAGGAGAGGACTCTTTAAAGTAGAGACACTACATAATGATATACACCTGAACATCAGCAGGAGAGGACTCTTTAAAGTAGAGACACTACATACTGATACACACCTGAACATCAGCAGGAGAGGACTCTTTAAAGTAGAGACACTACATACTGATATACACCTGAACATCAGCAGGAGAGGACTCTTTAAAGTAGAGACACTACATACTGATATACACCTGAACATCAGCATGAGGGGACTCTTTAAAGTAGAGACACTACATACTGATATACACCTGAACATCAGCAGGAGAGGACTCTTTAAAGTAGAGACACTACATACTGATATACACCTGAACATCAGCAGGAGAGGACTCTTTAAAGTAGAGACACTACATACTGATATACAGCTGAACATCAGCAGGAGAGGACTCTTTAAAGTAGAGACACTACATACTGATATACACCTGAACATCAGCAGGAGAGGACTCTTTAAAGTAGAGACACTACATACTGATATACACCTGAACATCAGCAGGAGAGGACTCTTTAAAGTAGAGACACTACATACTGATATACACCTGAACATCAGCAGGAGAGGACTCTTTAAAGTAGAGACACTACATACTGATATACACCTGAACATCAGCAGGAGAGGACTCTTTAAAGTAGAGACACTACATACTGATATACAGCTGAACATCAGCAGGAGAGGACTCTTTAAAGTAGAGACACTACATACTGATATACACCTGAACATCAGCAGGAGAGGACTCTTTAAAGTAGAGACACTACATACTGATATACACCTGAATATCAGCAGGAGAGAACTCTTTAAAGTAGAGACACTACATACTGATATGAAACTGAAAATGAGCACGATAGGGCCCCTTTAAGTTCTAAATACTGTGCTAAAAATGCCAATTTAACCGGCGACTAACCAAGCAGACAAAACCAGAGTATAAAAAGGTTTAAAGTTCAACATGTGCTTTGATAACCTGAAAGTGCTTCAATGAGAGCTTTCTGGGCTGAAGAGGATAATTCCTGCCCTAATTAAATTCTGTCTGTGAGTCATTTTCAGTCAACATTTGGTAGCTTTTTCTACCTCACAGTTTGATGCTTTAAATGAGACCAAAAGAAAGAAACGGACGGTTGACTCCAGGTAAAGACTGAGTGAATCACTGAGCAAACACTCACCTGCAGCAGGTGGAGTCTCTGGTATTTCCAGTTGATTTCCTGAACAAACAACACATCCTGTTGGGACTCAGCGCTCCAGGTAGGGGCTCTTTTGTTATGTCAGGTTATTTCTGTCTAATTTAATTAATTTTTAACCCGCAGGCATCATTTAAATAATTTACTGTGTTCAAAGAACACTGGAAAAGCTCATGTGTCCCTCTCAGATGTACTGTAGTACTGTTTACAAATATCAACAAAGGCAAATACTGTACTTTTCTGAGAAGGTTAGTGTCTCTCTATCGTGAGAGAATTGTAATACTTCTAAAGTTAATTAAACTCTTTTAGAAGTGTCTCGGATCAGAGGGAAAATGCATCGTCACAGACATGGGCGTCACTTTGTTTTCAAAAGTGGTGGAGACACTTTTTTCAGAAAGTACTCATGTGTATCTGTACATGTGTGTGCGTGTGCGTGCGTGCGTGCGTGCGTGCGTGTGTGTGTGTATGTATGTGTGTACTGCACTTACGTGTATGAGGCACATCCCTCCACTTCCGGTTCACATCTCCAGGAAAAACGTGTTCTCTCTCTGTGTGTGTGTGTGTGTGTGTGTGTGTGTGTGTGTGTGTGTGTGTGTGTGTGTGTGTGTGTGTGTGTGTGTGTGTGTGTGTGTGTGTGTGTGTGTGTGTGTGTGTGTGTGTGTGTGTGTGTGTGTGTGTGTGTGTGTGTGTGTGTGTGTGTGTGTGTGTGTGTGTGTGTGTGTGTGTGTGTGTGTGTGTGTGTGTGTGTGTGTGTGTGGCTGCTTCCTGCTCTGTAACCATGGCTACGCTCAGGTAGATATTGTGACCTGTACTTTAGAGAGGAGCCTGCTCGATTCAAGCGTCATTCATTCAGCTGTTGCTATCCAATTATGGTCAAATTATGATGTGAGTACAGTGACCCTAACGCTAACAACTTCTTATTTTAAATCACAAAGACACTGTGAGAGAGAGAGACAGAGAGAGAGAGAGAGAGAGAGAGAGAGAGAGAGAGAGAGAGAGAGAGAGAGAGAGAGAGAGAGATAGAGAGAGAGAGAGATATAGAAGATGAGAGAGAGAGAGATGAGAGAAGAGATGGTGGGTGTAAAACGTGTTTAATAGATCTCTTACGTCTCACAACAGGAGTGATTATCTCAGCAGCACAAAGTGGATTATATACCTGGGATCAGCTGGTGTTTAAAATCATTTTATTCAAAGCAGGTTCTTGTTGTTTTTCCCCCTTTGGTAACGTTTGATTGAGAGGATCTGAACTGGTTCTTCTAGTATTATTTAAGGGTTGTATTGGATGCAAATCAACGGCACTGACGGACAAATTCAAACCATCGAACGATCACTAAAAGCCCCATAGGAAGATAAGATAAGATCAACTTTATTGATGATCCCAAATGTTGTTGTTTTTTCCGTCACAGCAGCATGTTCAAACAAGCCATTTCACAAATAAAAAGAGTTGACAATAAACTAAATAAAACGGCAAACAGTCCCGTAACGTTTTGCAGCTGTGTGGTAAATATGGAAAATGACACATGTTGCCTTTGTGCCGGGAACACATTCGAGAGAGAGACATTTAGACATTTTGCAGAAGGTGCAGAAAGCATTCCTCACAAACTCCAAGGAAAGGACATTAAACATGACGGAGAGAATATTTAGGATTTCGTAGCTTCACACATTGCTGATCTTTGTAAACTGGTTTTGCAATAGAGTGCCACAGTGACGCGTCCTAAAACATCTCCTAAAGTCAACTCCTTCCGGTTCCTTCGACAAAAACGCAATGCAATTTCTCCATACGTTTTTGGAAAATAGCTCGAAATCAGGTCTGTGGTTGAGACACATTGAAGAGACGGATCACGTTTTGTTCAGCCGGATCATCTCCACATGTCTACCCTACTTTTATAATGTTCTAATCATAAATCTAATGTCCAGAAGCAAAATGCTAACGTGATGCTATAAAGCAGGGCTTCTCAAACTCCGGACCAAGGTGTCCCATTATAAAAAAAAATAAAAAAAATTATAAAAAAAAAAAAAAAAAAGAATTATGATTCTGATAAATTAATGTACATCATCATGTACGCGCGTCTTGTGTCTGACGCGTTGTGAGAATGAACGTGCATATATATTTACTTGTGTGTGCGAGCGTGACACGCATAGCAGACCGCAAGTTAACCGCAAGTTTACCTTGACATACTGTATGTATGTATTGAATGTGTGTGTGTATACAGGGGCGCCGTTTACCAACAGGCAAGGCAGGCAAGTGCTTGGACCAGAAGGGGGCCCCCAAAGAAGGTAGATTAAGAAGGTCCACAGCAACGACAACATGAAACACCCTTTAATTTACTGCAACGACATGTCGGGAAACTCCATGCATAGAGCGCCAATAAACTGCTTCTTAATTTCAGTTTCGTTTCTCCGCTCGGGGGGGGGGGGGGACTTTAGTGGCATCGATCCGGACCAGTGACCTTGTATAAAGTTCACAACTGGACCTTTAATAAAAAAGTTTGAGTACCCCTGCTATAAAGGAACTACAGTCGAGTACAGCAGCACGACTTCAACGTCACGCCAACTTAAGATCCATATTCAAACATACAGATTCTAAATGGTACGAGTTGAAGCGTTTGTTTGAACAGTTAGCAGGAGGCAGGTACTTGCTTTCAAGCAGAACAGGGCTAACTAACTTAGAGGAGTGTTTACGTGTTCGGCGTAATGACGTACAACGACCTCCACGACTTCTGTAGTCCTATTCAGCCACTTGGTAACAACCATCGTTTTTCAGACACGTCAACTCTTCAGAAATCACCAGTGGGGTCACTGCTGATGGATTTAATGTCCTAGAACAAAACGTGATCCATCTCTTTAATGTGTCTCAACCACAGACCCATTGGCTCTGAGACGAGGGAACAGGAAGTGGTGAAATGCTGACTCACTTCCTGGTTTTAGGACGCGTCACTGTGGCACTCTATGGAGCTCATTTAAATAGTGCAAGAGGTCCAGGAGGTCCTTCTCTTGCCGACTCACTTCAGAGCCTTCGAGGAAACTTCCGTTTTTGGCACTTCAACGTCTTCATTTCGTTTGTTTCTTACAATAAATACTGATGTAGTTCCAGCTTCAGTGCGATGGACCCTGTGCTCTCCTGTCTGACCGTCTTCACTGATGTGAGAGATTTAGAAGTGATTCACTGAAGAGGTTTCTATGACAAAACCTCCTCTCCTCTCCTTTCCTTTCCTTTTTCCTCTTCTCTCCCTTCCTCTCATCTTTTATTCCTCTACTCTCCTTTCTTACTTGTTTCCTCCTCTTCCTCTCCCAGCCTCTCCTCTTCCTCACCCCTTTGTCTCCCTGTGTTTCTCTCCCTGCAGTGAACAGTTATGGTGAGGATGATGAAGATGAAGGCAGCAGCTCTTCTGACAGTGAAGAGGAGGTCCTGAAGCAGTTTGAGATCTCTGTCTCTCGGTCTCAGAGTTTTCGAGCTCCTGCAGCAACAAACAGCAGCGAACAACAACAACAACAACAACAACAACAACAAACCCAGCTGTCAGTCAGCCGTCGACACAAATTCAGCCGACTGTCGGACCAGGAGGAAGGAAGCACGGAGCCGTCAGACTGCGAAGGTGAGGGTCCAAAAGCTCCATTCATTCCTCTGCACATATTACAGGGTCCAGAACGAGTCTGAGAGGGGGGGGGGGTTAGTATGTCGAGCACTCGCAGTATGTCTAAGGGGTGGGAATCACCAGGCTCCCCACGATACGATACTATTGCGATACTTAACCAACGATACAATAGTATTGCGATTCTACGATATGCTAAGTAAGATAAGATAAGATAAGATGGATCTTTATTAGTCCCCGTGGGGAAGTCCAGTAGTTTAACAGCAACAGGTTGAGAATGAAAAACAGCACAGATTCACACAGATTAAATATTAATACAATTAAAATGATATATAGTTAAGAAATGATATTAAAATGAACATATATACATCTGTAGAGCACTTACCAGCATGGGCGTCGCAGCCATTATATGAGGGTGGGACAAATCCCCCCCACCTTTTAAAATCATTAGTTTAGACCCCACCACTTTTACTATGCGGAAAGTCCGTGCATCGGTCTGTCCACTCGCCACTCTCTGTAGAGCGCTGTGTCAGTGCTTCATTATCAAATCCATTCCACTTGCTTATTGTGAGAATGCCCAAATCAATGAAACTCCGTCCCATGTTTTCACTGCTACTTTGTACCAGAGGTGGGAGTAAGTCCTACATGTGCAAGTCATGAGCAAGTCTCAAGTCTTGACCTACAAGTATCAAGCAAGTCCCAAGTCACTGTGGTGAGAGTCAAGGAAGTCAAGTCAAGTCATTGCTCAGGTCAAGTCAAGTCAAGTCAAGTCATTGCTCAGGTCAAGCAAGTCAAGTCATACGAAATTCTGATGAATAAGCCCAGTTTCCGCATTTAAATCAGTTAAAAGACAGTGGTTATGAAAATGGATTTAACCCACACTATGATCTTCATTACATACACAGTTAATCATCTGAAATCTAATTTAGACCGATGACAATCATATTAGATTCATATTAACCCTAGAACTGCAGACAAAGCTAGGACTCAATCAAAAAGTCTGTTCAAAAAGGCAGAATTCCAGGTAAGAAAATCATATATGGCATTTGCCATTACACATATTTAATTTAAATGTCTGTTAACACTAGAACCGCCAACAGCGTCAGCACCTACATAGATATCATTTTCAAATCATTGAATTTGTTCCTCTTCATAATTTCCTTATAAACTAAGTAGGACGATTTAAAACTCAGTTCATTTTGCAATGGCTTCAGTTTATCATCATAACAGATCAAAAAGTTCAGATTCATTTTACAATAAATCAAGGAATGATGCACTTCTACAAACAAAAACATCATAATTAAAACATTTAAACAAACTACTAAAAGTAGATGAACTACATTATTCAACAGTTTACAGTAACTTCTGATAACACAGGGGAAATAAACGAGGCATCTCTTTTCCTCTCTCTCTCTCCTGACGGCCCGTCAGTATCAAGGTTAGTCAAAATGAATCCCTTGGTGGTTCTAGTGTTCATTTGCCGTTTTGTCTTCTCTTTGCAATGCTTAATCGATTTGAAACCAAGTCTAACGTAGCTTAAACTTAACGTTAGCTTTCTAGCTAACACAACACATTCACGTACCTTTCTCTGTGGGTTTTTTGTAGTGACGAATGAAGTTGGATGTTGTGGTGGTCGTGTCATTGATCTTTATGCTGCAGACCCTGCATACCGCTGTTCTCTTCTTATTGGCGTCATCGACAACATAATCCTTGAATCCAAACTTCACTATTTGTGGAGTAACGGTAGCCGCTGCCATGTTAACTGACACTCCTACCGTCTAGTGAGTTGGGTTGCCAGGTTTGCGCGCACGGCGCTATAATCACCCAATCACGTTTTCGAAAAAACTAAACGTAATATCTCAATACAAAAACAAACGCAAATATTTAATTTTAAACAGTCAAGTCCTTTCAAGTCATCTGTCTCAAGCTTAAGTCAAGTCTCAAGTCATGAATACCAAGTCAAAGTCAAGTCAAGTCTTTTATTAATGTTAGTCAAGCAAGTCTCAAGTCAAAAAATATGCGACTCGAGTCTGACTCGAGTCAAGTCATGTGACTCGAGTCCCCACCTCTGCTTTGTACCAAGGCAGATTCTCAGAGCCGTGCACATGAGCCGTGCACATGAGCCGTGCACATGCTGCGTTTTTTGTGTAGCTGTGTCTTTAGTTGTAAAATCATTTCCCCGCTGCGAGGCTCCGGCGCTAACAGTTCACGAGCGCGCTCCACTAGCACCCGGATATAAGGCGCTGTTCTTAAAGAGGTGGAGGGAGAGTCCTCTCCTGTCAGACTGAGAGGCTGATAACTACAGCTCAGTGAGGTGAAGGACTCTCTGAGAGGTGGAGGGAGAGTCCTCTACTGTCAGACTGAGAGGCTGATAACTACAGCTCAGTGAGGTGAAGGACTCTCTGAGAGGTGGAGGGAGAGTCCTCTCCTGTCAGACTGAGAGGCTGATAACTACAGCTCAGTGAGGTGAAGGACTCTCTGAGAGGTGGAGGGAGAGTCCTCTCCTGTCAGACTGAGAGGCTCTGATAACTACAGCTCAGTGAGGTAAAGGACTCTCTGAGAGGTGGAGGGAGAGTCCTCTACTGTCAGACTGAGAGGCTCTGATAACTACAGCTCAGTGAGGTGAAGGACTCTCTGAGAGGTGGAGGGAGAGTCCTCTCCTGTCAGACTGAGAGGCTGATAACTACAGCTCAGTGAGGTGAAGGACTCTCTGAGAGGTGGAGGGAGAGTCCTCTCCTGTCAGACTGAGAGGCTGATAACTACAGCTCAGTGAGGTGAAGGACTCTCTGAGAGGTGGAGGGAGAGTCCTCTCCTGTCAGACTGAGAGGCTCTGATAACTACAGCTCAGTGAGGTAAAGGACTCTCTGAGAGGTGGAGGGAGAGTCCTCTACTGTCAGACTGAGAGGCTCTGATAACTACAGCTCAGTGAGGTGAAGGACTCTCTGAGAGGTGGAGGGAGAGTCCTCTCCTGTCAGACTGAGAGGCTGATAACTACAGCTCAGTGAGGTGAAGGACTCTCTGAGAGGTGGAGGGAGAGTCCTCTCCTGTCAGACTGAGAGGCTCTGATAACTACAGCTCAGTGAGGTAAAGGACTCTCTGAGAGGTGGAGGGAGAGTCCTCTACTGTCAGACTGAGAGGCTCTGATAACTACAGCTCAGTGAGGTGAAGGACTCTCTGAGAGGTGGAGGGAGAGTCCTCTCCTGTCAGACTGAGAGGCTGATAACTACAGCTCAGTGAGGTGAAGGACTCTCTGAGAGGTGGAGGGAGAGTCCTCTCCTGTCAGACTGAGAGGCTCTGATAACTACAGCTCAGTGAGGTGAAGGACTCTCTGAGAGGTGGAGGGAGAGTCCTCTCCTGTCAGACTGAGAGGCTGATAACTACAGCTCAGTGAGGTGAAGGACTCTCTGAGAGGTGGAGAGAGAGTCCTCTCCTGTCAGACTGAGAGGCTCTGATAACTACAGCTCAGTGAGGTGAAGGACTCTCTGAGAGGTGGAGGGAGAGTCCTCTCCTGTCAGACTGAGAGGCTGATAACTACAGCTCAGTGAGGTGAAGGACTCTCTGAGAGGTGGAGGGAGAGTCCTCTCCTGTCAGACTGAGAGGCTCTGATAACTACAGCTCAGTGAGGTGAAGGACTCTCTGAGAGGTGGAGGGAGAGTCCTCTCCTGTCAGACTGAGAGGCTGATAACTACAGCTCAGTGAGGTGAAGGACTCTCTGAGAGGTGGAGAGAGAGTCCTCTCCTGTCAGACTGAGAGGCTCTGATAACTACAGCTCAGTGAGGTGAAGGACTCTCTGAGAGGTGGAGGGAGAGTCCTCTCCTGTCAGACTGAGAGGCTCTGATAACTACAGCTCAGTGAGGTAAAGGACTCTCTGAGAGGTGGAGGGAGAGTCCTCTCCTGTCAGACTGAGAGGCTCTGATAACTACAGCTCAGTGAGGTGAAGGACTCTCTGAGAGGTGGAGGAGAGTCCTCTCCTGTCAGACTGAGAGGCTGATAACTACAGCTCAGTGAGGTAAAGGACTCTCTGAGAGGTGGAGGGAGAGTCCTCTCCTGTCAGACTGAGAGGCTGATAACTACAGCTCAGTGAGGTAAAGGACTCTCTGAGAGGTGGAGGGAGAGTCCTCTCCTGTCAGACTGAGAGGCTCTGATAACTACAGCTCAGTGAGGTGAAGGACTCTCTGAGGGTTTAGATAGTTCACTTTAGTCTAAGTAGTGGGTCTCAAACGGTTTGGTAATCATTTATGTAAATAAGTATTTCCAAGGCACACCTTTATATGATCATTATAGTTATAAAAAATAAAAGAATAACAGGTATGAAATCATTCCAACTCATACTACAGGACAGTAACACAAAAATACAGTTTGAAAGGGGAGTGATTTGTAACATATGCATAAAGAAAAAGTAAATCTGTTTACTGTTCTGTTTCACATGGGTGGTGTTGAGATGTTTCCATAGATTTAGTCCCTAACTTTGCTCTCAAAGTGCAGCAGATTGATGCATTAAACTTCAACATTTAAAAAGAAATCTGTTGCAATACGATATATATGTACATCTTTGTTTTGACTAACTTCCTGCCAATCCCACTGACTTTACTCATGGCCATGATGACTGCACAAGAACAAGCTCATCACCATCCAGTGGATAGAAAAACGACCAACATTTTTTATTTGGTTTTACAATATTAATAGTTTATATAACAAAATATTGATACTTGGCGTCCGTGTATCGACACAATATCACCACGCAATGTATCGCGATACTCTGCTGTATCGATTATTTCCCCAATCCCTAGTAAGTCTCATAAAGCAGAGATTAATTTACCAGCTAACATATTTGATCAAATATCTGTGTGGAAGCTGGTCAGTCGGGTTTAAAATCAGTTCAAAAAAGGAAAATGTTTGCCTCTTGAGACACGATGCTTTTATGTGTATTTCACAACAAATGGATTCCTCTTTATTCTTCGTAAGAGAGCAGCGAGTCAGATCAAAGATCCCTGGATTTATCAAAGTGCTTAAAGGTAGGGTAGGTCATTTTGGAGAAACCGGCTCTAGTGCGCTAGAATTTGAAAATACACAACCGGAAAAAATCTGCTCGTTCAGACTTCCTTATAGAGCCCCTCCTCCAACAAACACGAACATGACCAATGAGGGCACGAGATAAGTTTGTGCACAGATGGAAGGCTGACAGGCAGGTAGGCCATCCAATGATCTGCCGCGGGCCGGCTCAGATGATTGGTCGTGCTTTTTACAGTATTACGGCTTCCACAGATGAAATATTTTAATGTATTTATTGTCAAAGCATTTAATATATTCATTGCTATCGGGATGTTAAGAGCATTCCATGGAATATAACAAAAAGTGTTTCTGAAGTGAATTACCCACCCCACCTTTAAGGCTAACCTGTTACCTGCAAAAAACATTGCACACTGAGTGGAAAACCAGTTTTAACGTTTCTCTTTCTCTTTGCCAAAACGTTTGTATGAGGGTATTCAATTCTGTCGAGACCTGAAACCAGGGCCGTTTCTAGCTGTTTGGGGGCCCTATGCTAGATGCTGTTTGGGGGCCCTATGCTAGATGCTGTTTGGGGTCCCTATGCTAGATGCTGTTTGGGGGCCTATGCTAGATGCTGTTTGGGGGCCTATGCTAGATGCTGTTTGGGGCCCTATGCTAGATGCTGTTTGGGGGCCCTATGCTAGATGCTGTTTGGGGGCCCTATGCTAGATGCTGTTTGGGGTCCCTATGCTAGATGCTGGTTGGGGGCCCTATGCTAGATGCTGTTTGGGGTCCCTATGCTAGATGCTGTTTGGGGGCCTATGCTAGATGCTGTTTGGGGGCCCTATGCTAGATGCTGTTTGGGGGCCCTATGCTAGATGCTGTTTGGGGGCCCTATGCTAGATGCTGTTTGGGGGTCCTATGGTAGATGCTGTTTGGGGGTCCTATGGTAGATGCTGTTTGGGGGCCCTATGCTAGATGCTGTTTGGGGGCCCTATGCTAGATGCTGTTTGGGGGCCCTATGCTAGATGCTGTTTGGGGGTCCTATGCTAGATGCTGTTTGGGGGCCCTATGCAAGATGCTGTTTGGGGGCCCTATGCTAGATGCTGTTTGGGGGCCCTATGCTAGATGCTGTTTGGGGGCCCTATGCAAGATGCTGTTTGGGGGTCCTATGCAAGATGCTGTTTGGGGGCCCTATGCTAGATGCTGTTTGGGGGTCCTATGCTAGATGCTGTTTGGGGGCCCTATGCAAGATGCTGTTTGGGGGCCCTATGCAAGATGCTGTTTGGGGGCCCTATGCTAGATGCTGTTTGGGGGTCCTATGCAAGATGCTGTTTGGGGGCCCTATGCAAGATGCTGTTTGGGGGCCCTATGCTAGATGCTGTTTGGGGGTCCTATGCAAGATGCTGTTTGGGGGTCCTATGCTAGATGCTGTTTGGGGGCCCTATGCTAGATGCTGTTTGGGGGCCCTATGCAAGATGCTGTTTGGGGGTCCTATGCAAGATGCTGTTTGGGGGTCCTATGCAAGATGCTGTTTGGGGGCCCTATGCAAGATGCTGTTTGGGGGCCCTATGCAAGATGCTGTTTGGGGGTCCTATGCAAGATGCTGTTTGGGGGGTCCTATGCAAGATGCTGTTTGGGGGGCCCTATGCAAGATGCTGTTTGGGGGCCCTATGCAAGATGCTGTTTGGGGGTCCTATGCTAGATGCTGTTTGGGGGCCCTATGCAAGATGCTGTTTGGGGGTCCTATGCAAGATGCTGTTTGGGGGCCCTATGCTAGATGCTGTTTGGGGGCCCTATGCTAGATGCTGTTTGGGGGTCCTATGCTAGATGCTGTTTGGGGGTCCTATGCTAGATGCTGTTTGGGGGCCCTATGCTAGATGCTGTTTGGGGGCCCTATGCAAGATGCTGTTTGGGGGCCCTATGCAAGATGCTGTTTGGGGGTCCTATGCTAGATGCTGTTTGGGGGTCCTATGCAAGATGCTGTTTGGGGGCCCTATGCAAGATGCTGTTTGGGGGTCCTATGCAAGATGCTGTTTGGGGGTCCTATGCAAGATGCTGTTTGGGGGTCCTATGCAAGATGCTGTTTGGGGGCCCTATGCAAGATGCTGTTTGGGGGCCCTATGCAAGATGCTGTTTGGGGGCCCTATGCTAGATGCTGTTTGGGGGCCCTATGCTAGATGCTGTTTGGGGGCCCTATGCTAGATGCTGTTTGGGGGCCCTATGCAAGATGCTGTTTGGGGGTCCTATGCAAGATTCTGTTTGGGGGTCCTATGCTAGATGCTGTTTGGGGGTCCTATGCAAGATGCTGTTTGGGGGCCCTATGCTAGATGCTGTTTGGGGGGCCCTATGCTAGATGCTGTTTGGGGGTCCTATGCTAGATGCTGTTTGGGGGTCCTATGCTAGATGCTGTTTGGGGGCCCTATGCTAGATGCTGTTTGGGGGCCCTATGCAAGATGCTGTTTGGGGGCCCTATGCAAGATGCTGTTTGGGGGTCCTAGTTTTTACAGTTTTGTAACTACAATGGGGGGGTTCCGAAGCCTTTGAGAGGATCTGTGGAGACGCATCAGTCTGTTACACTTTAAGAGGAAAACAGGCTGATTTCACGAAAGCCAAGTAATTGAAATTTACAACAAATGACATTAAAAAGGTAAACAACAAGGCTCCTCTACGTCAATAAATGCAAGAGATGCAGCATTTTCTCAAAAATGTTTAATTTACATTTTTCTTCTTCCTCAGACGTCACTGATTGGCTGACAGCCCAGCGATGATTTGGACGTTATTGATCCCCACAAACACAAGCCTCAGCTTTGCTATCATGGCAGTTTAGTTGTGTTTATGTCCTACATTAGAGATGTAAGCTTCTGATGCTTCACCGAACACAGGAGGGGCTCGGCTGCCTACACATAAAGACGGCTCATTTGCATTCTCCCCAAATATATTGAGGCTGAACCTGAACGTTCAGCTTGGGGGCCCCCTAGTGGCCGCGGGGCCCTGTGCATCTGCATAGTCCGCCTATAGGAAGAAACGGCCCTGCCTGAAACTCCTACGAACAGAAAACTCTAATCCATCCCGGTGTCATTGAGCCAAAAGAGCCCGAATAAGGTTTTACTGCAGATTAGAGGCAGGGAGGCTCAGAGGCTCAGAGGCTTGTAGTCAGAGTTCAAAGACAGAAGACAACAAGAAAGAAAACTGGAGATTTAGATTCCTTTCCCTCCTTGTTTGGTTATTTGCATGTAATTGAAGTTAATGTAATGAACTTGTGAAACTAAATGCTAAACGACAGAGTGTGTTGGGCGGAGGACCTGATTGGTTGTTCTTTAACCCGAGGGTTTGTGATATGTAGCACAGAAAGCAGCAGCAGTTACACGCCGTCTAACTTCACACGTTTCAGTATTCAAGCATTCAAACATAGATTGCCAAATGTTTAAGCACGGAGGTTCCTAAAATGTACTTCCTAAAAATTGTGATTAATAATAATCCTCCAACATCCACCACGACATCATCTGGATTATCATCTGATCCTGGATCAAAATCTCCTCTCTCTCCTCTCCTCTCTCCTCCTCTCTCCAGCAGTTTTGAAGATAAACACACACACACACACACACACACACACACACACACACACACACACACACACACACACACACACACACACACACACACACACACACACACACACACACACACACACACACACACACACACACACACACACACACACACACACACACACACAGGTAGATGACTCACCTCAGTTGCTATGGCCCATGCTCTGCAGCCATTGGTTAAACAGTCAGACCTTAATGATTGTGAATTGGAGATAATGATATTGATTGGTCGGAGGAGGAACGGCCTGTTCTTCTCCGAGTGTCTCAACAAAAGGCCAAGGTTTGACCGACATCACTTCTGTAAACAAACAACGTTACTGTAGCGGCTGTAAGACCTCGTACCTTCATTTAAGCGTCTTTGAGCACCAGGACAAGCGCTATTAAAATGCATTATGATGATGATGATGATGATGATGATGATGATGATGATGTAGTGAACCAGGGGAGACCGAGACGTAAAACCAGCACATTGTTCCGCTTTGCAGGATTTAAAGAAAGGCCATTTGCGTACATTTCAGTAGTTATCTTTACACTTAGTCATAGTCTCAATATCAAACCAATATGCATTTCGGGAGAGGAAGGAAGGAGACGAGCGAAGTTGAAGAAAGGAACAAAAATCAAGATGGAAACAATATACAGTTGGTACGATTATATTTAAATGAAGGAGGTGTGTGGCGCAGTCGGCTGGTGCGTTGGTGTTGGGATCAGAGGGTCACAGGTTCAAAGGTTCAAACCCCACTGCAGTCAGCATGTCGTTGTGTCCCTGAGACACTTCACCCCAAAGTGCTCCTGGGGATCGTCCACAGTATTGAGTATGTAAGTCTCTTTGGATAAAAGCGAGTCTCATGAAGGCTCTTCAAACGTTCAGAAACGATGTGTTCGACAAATCTTCATTTCATTTTATTCGATGACTTGATACGAAAACATTATTCAGATTTAAAAAATGTGGGAAATGGTGAACATCTGTATTTATGTTTTCAGTTTAAGACCCTGATTATTATAATCTCTGTGTGAACTCTTTTTACCTGTTCTCCTTCCCATTCTTCCTTGATTCCTCCTCTTCCTTCCTCTCTCATCTCCTCTCTCCTCTCTCCTCGCTCCTCTCCTCTCTCCTCTTATTTTGTAACACGGCATTTCCTGATTCTGGTGAAATATAGTTCAAAATGAGTTCTCCTGATAATTACCAGATGTGATTTATCTAAATATCCCTTCTTACTTCTAGAGATCTCACCAAGCTAATGTCCACTTGTTCTATTGGCAGATTGTTCTACTTATTTCAAGTGAAAACACCTTGTTTTCATTATTGTTTAACTTGTTTTTGCATTTTCTCGATGCAGAGATGGAGGCAAAGAGCCAGCATCAGGGTTTCCAGGACCCTCTCTCTGCAGCGCTGGAAGACACTGAGAGAGCGACGACTTCTTCTTCTCTGGACAAACCTTCAACCGTCAGGGAATCAGCAGCCAGAGAGAGTCTCAAACTGAGCATGAACCGGCAGGCGGCCGACGGCAGCGAGGACACGGAGAAGGCAGCAGATAGCGTCAAAAACGATGTCACAGACAGCTCCACCACCTGGAGCCCAGAGGTACTGCAGACACTGACATCTCTGGTTTAGATTCACACTATTCTGATGAAAAAGCATCCAAACAATCGCTCCAAGCGGCTCTTGGCTCTTCAACGGACTAAAGTTCTCCGTACAGTTTGTCCACCGCTTTGATGTAAAAACTGCTCCACCCTTTGATGATCTCTATGGATCAAGCTATAATACACCAAGGCTTAGGGTTCCACAATTTAATGAGGTTAAACCGCATCGTATCGCATCGTGTTGAATTGTATTGAATGTTATCGTATGAAATCGTATCGAATAGTATTGTAGCTAAATGTTTCGAATTGTTACAATTTGAAAACATGGCATCGCATGTTTTCGCATCGTTTCGCATCATATCGTATCGTATCATATCGTAGCGTATCGTAGCGTATTGTAGCGAAATCGTATCGTATCATATCGTATTGTAGCGAAATCGTATCGTATCGTATTGTAGCGAAATCGTATCGTAGCGAAATCGTATCGTAGCGTATTGTAGCGAAATCGTATCATATCGTATCGTAGCGAAATCGTATCGTAGCGTATTGTAGCGAAATCGTATCGTATCATATCGTATAGTATCATATCGTATAGTATCATATCGTATCGCATCGTATTGTAGCGAAATCGCATCGTATCGTATCGTATAGTATCATATCGTATCGCATCGTATTATAGCGAAATCGTATCGTATCGTATCATATCGTATCATATCGTATAGTATCATATCGTATCGCATCGTATTGTAGCGAAATCGCATCGTATCGTATCATATCGTATAGCATCATATCGTATCGCATCGTATTGTAGCGAAATCGCATCGTATCGTATCATATCGTATAGTATCATATCGTATCGCATCGTATTGTAGCGAAATCGCATCGTATCGTATCATATCGTATAGCATCATATCGTATCGCATCGTATTGTAGCGAAATCTAATCGCATCGCCATATCGCATCATAGCAGACGGCAGCGAAGACAGGGAAAAGGCAGCAGATAGCGTCAGCAACGATATCACAGACAGCTCCACCACCTGGAGCCCAGAGGTACTGCAGACACTGACATCACTGGTTTAGATTCACACTAATTTCCATGAAAAAGCATCCAAACAAACTCTCAAAACGAGTCTAGGCTTTTAAACAGACTAGAGTTCTCCAAAAGTGTTTTTCCACTGCTTTATTGTCAGAACTGATCCACCCTTTGAGAATATCTATGGATCAATCTATAATATACTAAAGATTCCCAACAGCCATGTCCTGGAGAGTAAAATATGAGGAGATTTAGAGTTCCACGATTTAATGAGGTTAGCCCGCATCGTATCGTATCGTGTTGAATTGTATTGAATCTTATCGTATGAAATCTGAAATCGTATCGAATTATTAATGTAAAGTACATGTTTCTGGTATCAGTACTTTACTCCACTACTTATTTTTCTGACCACTTTTTACTTTGACTTCTAACATTTTGAACCCAAATACCTGTACTTTCTACTTCTTACATGTTGAACCCAAATACCTGTACTTTCTACTTCTTACATGTTGAACCCAAATACCTGTACTTTCTACTTCTTACATGTTGAACACAAATACCTGTACTTTCTACTTCTTACATGTTGAACACAAATACCTGTACTTTCTACTTCTTACATGTTGAACACAAATACCTGTACTTTCTACTTCTTACATGTTGAACCCAAATACCTGTACTTTCTACTTCTTACATGTTGAACACAAATACCTGTACTTTCTACTTCTCACATTTTCCAAACAGGCTGGTTCCTTTAGTTTGAATGTGTGTTTGGTGGCGTGATCATTATTATTTAGAGTCATTGCGTGCCTATTGATTTGAACACGATCCGTGTATCCATCATTTCCTGGTCTTCTCTAAAGAAGAGGGACCAATGAAAACGTTGTCATGTTGCCGTTGTTCAGCATGGAAACATTCATTAGCTAACAATGACATTATTGTTCTATTAATATAAAGGGAGGTCAGGTACTCTTTAAAACAGCTGCTAGTTATGGGTACTTTTTACTGAAGTACATTTCAAAGCCCTCTTTACTTTGACTTGAGTAAAGAAGTTTAGTCAGTACTTCTACTTTTACTATTTTTAAACACGAGTATCTGTACTTCTACTTGAGTAAAGGAAGTGTGTACTTCTACTTGAGTAAAGGATGTGTGTACTTTTGCCTTTGCATTGTAGTGAATGTATTGAATCGTGATCGCATTGAATGAAAAATAAATCCATTTACTGCCGATTGCACTTTAATACGCTTTTAGTTCCTGGAAAAAAGAGCAGTTTTTTTATAAAAAGGGGAGAAAAACAACCTTTTAGTTATAAATGAAACCTAGGTTTGCTTTACTTTTGATTAAATCAGGTTGACGTGTTCTCATTATCTGATTTCTTGTTTTGGTAGCGGCGGCTTCATTGTTGAACTCTAACCAATCAGTGTTGAGTCAAGTATTTGCCCCAATTAATGTTGGATAAATGAAAAAAGACGGCAAAGTGGTTCTTAATACGTTTTTAAATGACCTGAAGCTCCACCAGAAACTGATTTAAACTCATATTAGGACCACAGATTCTAGGGATCTTAAAGCATCTAGTTTTGATAGTAAATAAGCTTAAACCTTAATATATAGAAGTCATTCTTTTACCCATGGATTGATGATCCTATTGCTAATTGGCACAAGTTTACCGTCCAGAAACAACAATTTCTTCCTTAGCGTTGTCTGATTTTTCATGGATTTCGCAAAGATACGTAGAAAGGCTCATTTTCTAAGTCTTCAAATCCCTGATTGTTTTGGCAGCTTCATCGGATTTCTTTAAATTGCCAAACAAATTAGAGAAGAGATCTGGGAGCAGGATAATCTCTTTGACAAAACAAATCCAAGTCTTTTTCCAATATGTGTGTGTTCACACGTTAGTCCCTTTTGCTTTATATCAGATGATTAATTGTTATTCTGAGTGCACTCTTCGATCCAGACTGAGACGTCACACTGGAACAAATGCTGCTCCAAAAACAAGTTCAACAATAATGAAAACAAGCTGTTTTCACTTGAAATAAGTCCAAAAATCTGCCAGTAGAACAAGTGAACATTAGCTTGGTGAGATCTCTAGAACTAAGAAGGGATATTTAGATAAATCACATCTTGTAATTATCAGGAGAACTCATTTTGAACTATATTTCACCAGAATCAGGAAATGTTGTGTTACAGAATAATCCGCAAACGCTCAAAAGGTTTCTGTTTTCTGATGTTAGTTGGTGATTTTCTAATAAAGAATATGTGTTTCATCTGAGATACAACTCAAAATAAGATGTTTTGACTTCACAAGATGACGCATTGTCTAAAAACAAGAGCCTATATCTCACTGCAGTGTCACTTCTGAAGTTATTATGTCTTATATCAGGTGGAAAGACATGTTCTAACTAGATATTAGACACAGATACTGGGCAAGATGTTGAGGTTTTGTAGTGTGCACACTTCACTCCAGACTGAGACGTTAGAAACTGACTCTTGAGAAACATTCAACTCTTTCTCAGCTCACAATAACCACCTAAAAAAAAAAAGGAGAAACTAAGGCAGGGATTAATTAAAGGGGTCAGTGAGCTCCCATCATCCCTCCTGTTTCCCATCATGCTTGGCAGAGGTGATGTCATGATAATCACGGATTATCACTCGGCCATGTTGTCCTCTCTGGTCCGTTTGGGAAGAAGCAAACATGGTTCACTGAGGCCTCCAGGGTTTGTATGAATAGTTAATATGTCCTTCGCTGCGTTGGCTAACAAACAGAAGCTCATGAATAATAATCACTGTGTGTGTGTGTGTGTGTGTGTGTGTGTGTGTGTGTGTGTGTGTGTGTGTGTGTGTGTGTGTGTGTGTGTGTGTGTGTGTGTGTGTGTGTGTGTGTGTGTGTGTGTGTGTGTGTGTGTGTGTGTGTGTGTGTGTGTGTGAACTTGCTTACACCTATTTAACATGTATTTATGTGTGTGTTGGTTAATGTAAGAGAGTGGGAATGTAGAATTTAACAACCTCTCAGTCACCGAATCACACTTTGAAATTGGGAGCAATCTGTGCAGTGAACACCTCCCACACACTCACACACACACACACACACACACACACACACACACACACACACACACACACACACACACACACACACACACACACACACACACACACACACACACACACACACACACAGAGGGTGACACTGATATAGAGAAACGTTTCATAAATAACAAATGTGTTTTGGTTCAGTCGAGCCACAAAAAAAACTGAGAGGGAAAGGGAGAGGCGTGTTTAAGTGGTTTATTTATATAGTTATATAACAGCTATGCTAATGCTAAACTGCTGATACTGCTAATAGTACTACCTCAACTAGTAGATATTTATTATAAAAAGTATTAAAATAGTCCCTGCATCGATGAAACAGGAGTGGATTACGCTGCAGACACTTTGAAAACACCTCCTTTAATACAGAAATAGACTCTCCATTGTGAAAATGACATAAATCCACATGTTTGAAACGCAGCGGATATATTTCTGGGTTCATTTCCAGAGGATTTGTGGATCCTGAAGCAGAGTTTGTTTGCAGGAAGGATCTGTTTGTGGAGCTGAGGGGATTATCGTCACGCTCGGGGATCAGGACGCGAGTCTTTGTTTGCACGTCTTCTTCTTCTTCCTCCTCTGTCGCCTTTCTCTTCATATTCCAGAGGATTGTGTGTAAAGCTATAAATAGAGACTAATCAGTTCAGATTTAGTTAAAAATAACACTAACCCTGAAGCCTGCTGTAGAAGATACTGCACTGGAAAAAATGATGCTCCTAAAACAAGTAAATGTATAATAAGAACAAGGTGTTTTCGCTTTTAATAAGTGAACACACCTGCCAATAGAACAAGTACAAAATGGCTTGGTGAGATTTCTTGAAGTAAAGATGGAATAATTAGATAAATGACATCTTGTGTTTAGCTGTGAGAACTTATTTTGAAGTATATTTGAGCAGAATTAGGGAATTTGTAACAAAAAAGACAGAAATGCTTCAACGTTTTCTGTTTTCTGATGTTAGTTAGTGGAGATGTTCTTCTAAAATAAGATGTTTTTAAGAGACTTAGAAAGATGCTTAAGATGCCTTGTCTAAAAACAAGACCTTAGTTATTAAAGGTCCCATGTCATGGCCATTTCTACTGATCATAATTCCATTGTTGAGGTCTACTAGAATAGATTTACATTGTTCAATGTTCCAAACTCACATTGGTTTCTCAAACAGCATCTCTGTATAGTATGTGTATTCACTCTCTGTCCCACACGGCTTGTTGGAGCTCCTGCCCCCCCCCCTCCCTGTGAGCCCAGTGGCCGTCTACGAGACAGCGAGACACAGCGAAGCCCAGCCCCAAACACACACACACCCGCAGCCTGGCTGGGAGTGTGTGTGTGTGCCCAGGCTGAGTTCCACGGTGTCTCGCTGTCTCGCCGACCCCACACCAGTGAGCCAGCTCACAGTGACCCGCTCCTCACAGCAGCGAGCCTCGCAACGTCCCGCCGAGTGTGTGTGTGTGAGGAAGTCCGCGGATTGGTCCAAATGTAACGGCTCCGGACGTAACCTAACGGCTCCGCGGATTGGTTCTTTTGGACCAATCCGCGGAGCCGTTACGTCACTATACCAGAAATACCTCACTATACCCAGGAAGTAAACAATGGAAAAAGAGAAATGTCCAAAGAGGCGTTCTGGGGCAGCATAGACAGGTCTTCTCTGTGTTAGAGTTTTACTCTCTACAGGGTGCACTTTGAGGGTTTGTGACTCTGCAGACCGTTTACATGCAGAAGCTTCATAACACAAGGGGACGGGTGATAACCAGAAAAGCATGACATGGGACCTTTAAGTCTTATATCAAGTGTAACGACATGTTCTGACTAGAAATTAGACAAATATACTTGGCAAGATTTTACATTTTTGCAGTGTGTATATATAAACGCCTCGGAGCAACTCTGTCTTCTTATTGAATTTATTATCTTGTTTTATATGTCTCTTCCTTCACTTAGCATCTTTCTTTACCATCACCTAAAGAAGCTGTAATCATAGTATGCGCTACTTTATGAATAAACTTTGATTGATTGATTGAAGTTTGTAGTTTTGTGGCTTTTTTTATCGGCTTGTTGTCAAATTCTGATTTTGATTTAAGTGTCTTCATGTAAGGTTGGCACTTATTCACTTTCTGGTGGAGAGCTGAGGTCGAGTGTTGGTTTTTTATATCTCGTTTTTGTCATTTTAGATATTAAAAGGTTTTATTAAATATGCATTGTAACGACAGAGTAGTTGTTGGTGATGACAGTCTTAAGTCCTAGGCTTCTCCAACAGTGCAACATACAATATAGGTAAGCTGTAAGATATGGTTAGCATAGAGATTGAAAATAGCAAACAGCTCCATTTACAAAGTCTAAGAATCTGCCCTCTTTAACCGGAGTCAATGCTGAATTATGCACAAAGAAATTAAAATATGCCTCCTCTCTTTCCCAGCCTCCCCAGGATGAGCCCACGTCTGAGCCGCTGAGCTCTTCCTCTCGACCCCCCATCTCTAAATGTGGAGATCTGGTTCTCTCTCTGGAGTATCGTGCGGACACGGAGAAGCTTCTGGTTTCTGTGATCGCTGCCCGGGATATTCCAGATAAAGCTCGCAGCGGCATGGACTCCTGGCAGGTGAGTCTTTAGTTCGAAGACCAAGAGTTAGTCTAAAGAAGACCAGGAAGCTTCTCCAAAGCTTGACCAAACAGATCATTGCAGCATTACCCATAATCCCCTCTGTTTCAGCCCTGTTTCCAAAGAGCTGATTCTCTGTCTGTTACTTTAGATGAAAATAAGGAGCCCCTCCCCACGCCCCTCTGAGAGAGATTTGGTTACAAAGAACTCAATGGTGCTCTAGTACCCCATTCACACCAACGGTGTTTCGGGGCCGGTTCGGAGCTGGAGCTTGAAAAGCACCGGGTTTTCCTGTTCATACCGCAGCGGAGCAGCCTCTAAGCTCCGGAATCCGGTTCGTTTCGAGCACCAAAAAGTTGTCCGTGTAGAAGCAAGAACCGCTTACGTCGGAGGGGGGCGAGATTAACCTGAGATAACAGTTAAGGCGAGTACGGCAAATAAAAGTTGTAACCAGCAGTAGCGCTGAGCAAAGTGACTAGAACGCAACCACACACTTGTAAAAAAAAAACACGCTTTATAAAGTCAGGCAACACTAACCAGGCTTCGTGTGATTCTGTTTATTTGTACCTTACTTTGACCATCCGTTCGCTGTTATTGATCATTGTGGAGAGCAGGCAGACGTTTTGTTTGTTATTATAGCAGCTATCGGATGGAATCAATACATGGGCTGCACAGGTTGTCATGTCCGACTATCACAAGTAGAATCATAATGAAAAATACGTCGGTAAAAAGTGCCTGTATAAAACGGCTTAGCAAGTAGTCAGTTTAGCTTCGGTTGCTATGCTAACATCACCCATGTTATACCAGAGAAACTTTCATAACAGCGTTGTGATGCCAAACAGCGTCAATTCAGACTGACACCAAACAGCGTCAATTCAGACTGACACACATTCACTTAAGGGGAACTGGGGATATGTAACAGCTGCTTGTGTGACAGTCAGACAGTGAATACTTTAGAGCCGTGTGAGCTAACCCGGAGCTAACGGGAGAATAAACTCCTGTTGAAGAGCAGCCAGCACTGCAGCGGTCGGTAAATGCCGCTGAAACACATTAATAAACAATGAACCACGGCACTCTGGAGAAAAGTATAGGGTTGGAGAAGTCGTTATTTAATTTAATCTGGCTTCGTATGATTAAAAGCAACACGATCATCGACCCGACGCAGTCCCCGGCCCGTTGTTGTTGTGAGGTGCGCTCCGTTGGGGAGAAACTCAGCGACGTAAACTGTGACGTCATGATGCAGCAGCGGCAGCACCAGTCGGGCTCTGAGCGGTGTGAAAAGAGCCGGACCTAAACCGAAGAACCGGTTCTGAATCAGAAAAGCTCTAGCACGGAGCTAGAACGGGAAAAGCCTTGGTGTGAAAGGGTATAAGAGGAGATTCAGGTGATAAGGTGGGGGGGGGGGGGGTTACCTTGGTTGCTGATTGGCTAATGGTTACACAAGACAAAACATCGTTATGACATCATAAAGTGGCCAAAATCTGATCAGCTCATTTTCAGACAGGTTTTTATATAAATGGATCAAAAAGAGAGAGAATCTTTGTTCCTGAAACTTTCAGAGTCTCTTTCCACAGAGGGGACACATGTTGATGTAGAAGAGACATGAAGAAGAGGGGACACATGTTGATGTAGAAGAGACATGAAGAAGAGGGGACACATGTTGATGTAGAAGAGACATGAAGAAGAGGGGACACATGTTGATGTAGAAGAGACATGAAGAAGAGGGGACACATGTTGATGTAGAAGAAACATGAAGAAGAGGGGACACATGTTGATGTAGAAGAGACATGAAGAAGTGGATTTTGCAGAATAGGTGACCTTTAAAGTTCGGGCACAATATATTGATTCTTTCTTACAGGTGCACATGGTGCTTCTTCCCTCAAAGAAGCAGCGCCACAAGACCACGGTGCAGAAAGGATCTCTGCCTCATTTCAACGAGACGTTTCGCTTCTCGCGCCTCGATGCCTCCGAGATGCAGATGTCGGCCATCAGATTCAGGCTTTATGCACTCGGAGCTTCCAGGATGTCCCGCGAGAAGATGATGGGGGAGAAGGTGCTTCGTTTGGGGGGGATGGATCCAAACGGAGGGACGATGGAAACAACGCTGATAATGGAGCCTCGCAGCAACCTCAAGGTGAGTGGGGGGTGACTATTGCTTGGGAGAAATAGTTGTTTCTGGACGGTAAACTTGTGCCAATTAGCAATAGGATCATCAATCCATGGGTAAAAGAATGACTTATACTGTATATATTAAGGTTTAAGCTTATTTACTATCAAAACTTTAAAATCCCTAGAATCTGTGGTCCTAATATGAGTTTAAATCGGTTTCTGGTGGAGCTTCAGGTCATTTAAAAACGTATTAAGAACCACTTTGCCGTCTTTTTTCATTTATCCAACATTAATTGGGACAAATACTTTACTCAACACTGACTGGTTAGAGTTCAACAATGAAGCCGCCGCTACCAAAACAAGAAGGTATATTGCTAAGGAGGTCTTCCACCAATCAAAGGGTCAGAGGTTAGATCCAACGCTCCTGTAGTCAACATGTTGAAGTGTCTTTTGGGCAAGATACTTAAACCTAAGTTGATCCCAATGGTGTGTGAATGTGTGTAGGTTTATTTAGGTAGGTATAGTCCTTTATAGCCCAACATTAACCTCCTTAAGCTTAGCGGTGGTGATGTGAAGTCATGTGACCGTGCTGTAGTTCCTTTATAGCCCAACATTAGCCACATTTAGCTTAGCGGTGGTGACGTGAAGTCATGAGACCGTGCTGTAGTTCCTTTATAGCCCAACATTAGCCACATTTAGCTTAGCGGTGGTGACGTGAAGTCATGTGACCGTGCTGTAGTTCCTTTATAGCCCAACATTAGCCTCCTTTAGCTTAGCGGTGGTGACATGAAGTCATGTGACCGTGCTGTAGTTCCTTTATAGCCCAACATTAGCCACATTTAGCTTAACGGTGGTGACGTGAAGTCATGTGACCGTGCTGTAGTTCCTTTATAGCCCAACATTAGCCTCCTTTAGCTTAGCGGTGGTGACATGAAGTCATGTGACCAAGCTGTAGTTCCTTTATAGCCCAACATTAGCCTCCTTTAGCTTAGCAGTGGTGACATGAAGTCATGTGACCATGCTGTAGTTCCTTTATAGCCCAACATTAGCCTCCTTTAGCTTAGCGGTGGTGACATGAAGTCATGTGACCAAGCTGTAGTTCCTTTATAGCCCAACATTAGCCACCTTTAGCTTAGCGGTGGTCACATGAAGTAATGTGACCGTGCTGAAGTTCCTTTATAGCCCAACATTAGCCACCTTTAGCTTAGCGGTGGTGACGTGAAGTCATGTGACCGTGCTGTAGTTCCTTTATAGCCCAACATTAGCCGCCTTTAGCTTAGCGGTGGTGAGGTGAAGTCATGTGACCATGCTGTAGTTCCTTTATAGCCCAACATTAACCTCCTTAAGCTTAGCGGTGGTGACATGAAGTCATGTGACCGTGCTGAAGTTCCTTTATAGCCCAACATTAGCCACATTTAGCTTAGCGGTGGTGACGTGAAGTCATGTGACCGTGCTGTAGTTCCTTTATAGCCCAACATTAGCCACCTTTAGCTTAGCGGTGGTGACGTGAAGTCATGTGACCGTGCTGTAGTTCCTTTATAGCCCAACATTAGCCACCTTTAGTTTAGCGGTGTTGACGTGAAGTCATGTGACCGTGCAGTAGTTCCTTTATAGCCCAACATTAGCTTTTTACTTCTGGCAATTGCAAGTGTGGAGATATCCTGCTGAACAAAACGTGTGTTTTGCCATCAATCCCATCAATTGTCAAGGGATTGTTTGTAATATAGCGATTGTTTCAAACTGTGATTCTGTCTCTGTGTTTCCTCAGAGTTTGGACTCCCAGCTGAGTCTCTCTGCAGTTTCTCAGAGCGACAGCGCCTCTTCCACTCAGTCTCTGACGCACGGAGGCGTCCCCGAGCTGCTTGTCGGTCTCACTTACAACGCCACCACGGGACGAATGTCTGTGGAACTCATCAAGGGCAGCCACTTCAGAAACCTGGCCATCAACAGACCCCCAGGTCAGCAGTGAGACACACACACACACACACACACACACACACACACACACACACACACACACACACACACACACACACACACACACACACACACACACACACAGATATCATAGCCAAACGGATAATGATTCATGAATTATAGAACGAAGGATCTACCAATCAGAGGGCCAACGGTTCGATCCCAGCCATAACAATATCAAACTTGTGACAAGGATGGGTGAAATGCAGAAGCTAAGTGTTTGTGACAATCGAACATGGATTTGAATCCTCTTTTTCCAACGTGACAGAAAATGGTTAACATGTGTTATCTTTGTTGATGCTTTAGCTCAGTGTCGGAAAATTGTTGGACTTCATGCAAACAATTCTGAAATCATCTCACCCTAAAAACGTTTCTACTCGTTTTTTAACCCTTAAATGATTTCTGTATCCTGGGGTATACATTTATTTTACAGGCTGTAAAATCGGTGCTATAACCAGGGGTGCACATAACTGGTACGCAGGTACGCATGCGCGGCAACAATCTGAAATGCGTACCGTCACTTGTGTCACAAAGCGCATTTGCGTACCGACGTAAATGTGAAGCTTTTCCAGAAGGCGGTTAGTTCACCGGACGACAGAGTCGGTCTCCGTGTGCACAGACAGGGCTGCTGTTAACGTCGGTCTGTACAGCAGCCCTGCGCTAAAACAGCTGATCACAACGTTCACACGCTCCGCGGTCACGAAGCTCTGTACTACACTACCACCACCCCCACGTTGACAATCGCCAGAAGTTGGAGTACCAAACACTGACTCCAGGTACTCATCTGAGTACCTCACTGAGAAAGTTATGTGCACCCCTGGCTATAACAGTGTAATTACGGTGTAATATTAGTGGTGTAATATTAGTGGTGTAAACTACAAAATAATAAACAATATATTTTCCAAAATATTGACTGCCACTTTAAAGGTCCCATGTCATGCTTTTCTGGTTCTGACCCGTCCCCTTGTGTGTTATGAAGCTTCTCCATGTAAACGGTCTGCAGAGTCTCAAACCCTCAAAGTTCACCCTGTAGAGAGTAAAACTCTAACACAGAGAAGACCTGTCTATGCTGCCCCAGAACGCCTCGTTGGACATTTCTCTTTCTCCATTGTTTGCTTCCTGGGTTCTGTGACGTGTGAACACCCAGATCAACAACAAATGACCGGACTGGCCCAAATGGACCAATCAGCGGAGCCCCTCACACACCAGGATCCCTTGGCTAACTAACAGGGAGTCCCATTGACTTGCATAGAGCTCCCTGGTTGGTAATAGACGAGTTGGGATGGTGGAGAAATGCTCTCCGCAGACCCATTCTCACAGCGTTAGAAACCTCTTACTCAATATCAAGCCACACTTATTGTGTTTACTTCGGCTGTGAGTGTTTGTGTGCTCAGGATGAGTTTAGCTTGTTCTCGCTGTATCGCCGACCCGGAAACTTCTCCGCTCCTCGCAGCAGCAACGAGCCTCGCAACGTCCCGACCAATCAGAGCACACTGGGCTCACAGGGAGGGGGGGGGGCAGGAGCTCTAACAAGCCGTGTAGGACAGAGAGTGAATACACATACTATACAGAGATGCTGTATGAGAAACCAATGTGAGTTTGGAACATTGAACAATGTAAATCTATTCTAGTAGACCTCAACAATGGAATCATGATCAGTAGAAATGGCCATGACATGGGACCTTTAAGGCTTAACCTTTGATTGTATAACGATTAACCACAGATTATAAAAAACTATTTTTTGATCAATAGGTGACCTTTAACTTTTCCTTCCTCCCTCCTCCAGACACCTATGGGCGTCTGACCCTTCTACGGTGTAATATTAGTGGTACATGGGTCCTTGTTCCTGTTCCTGAGTCTCTTTACACAGAGGAGACGCATGTTTATGTATAAAAGACATGAAAAAGTGGATTTTGCACAATAGGTGACCTTTAACTTTCTCTCCCTCCTTCTTCCAGACACCTATGGACGTCTGACCCTTCTGAACTCGGTGGGTCAGGAGATTTCTCGCTGTAAAACGTCGGTGCGTCGCGGACAGCCCAACCCCGTCTACAAGGAGACTTTCGTCTTCCAGGTGGCGTTGTTCCAGCTGTCGGACGTCACCCTGCTGGTCTCCATCTATAACCGACGCAGCATGAAGCGCAAAGAGATGGTGGGATGGATCGCTTTGGGTCAGAACAGCAGCGGAGAGGAGGAGCAGATCCACTGGCAGGATATGAAGGAGAGTCGAGGACAGCAAGTCTGCCGCTGGCACGTCTTATTGGAGGCGTAAAATAAAGGGAGTTTACCATACCATATACTTTATCGTCCCCTTAAGGACATTTGTTCTGGACTCTTACAAACACAAACACATTGAAATACATACATCACTCATGCACCGTTTGATCAACACAATACACTGACAATGGAGACCTGTTGCACAACCCTCATGGCCAACATTTAAAAGTATATTACATTACATGTGAGTGTTGAGAAGCATAATGGACAGGAATGAGTGCTTCAGGAAGATATTTTCTTTGCCCAATGTTCTTAAAATCTGGTTAAAATGTGCACAATATCTTGATACAAACCCGTACTTGCTTCAGTGTTACCACTAAAGGATCACGTGACCATCAAATTCTGAGCGTGGAAACACGAGGGGGTAGAAGTGAAGATGTTTTGTGATTCGAGTGGAGGAGGAAGGAGGCGTCTCATTCACATTCTCCGTAAACAAGCCAATGATTGACCCATCTATTGCCAATCGCAAAATGTGGTTAAATCACATGGACTAATAATCACATGAGAGTAGTGGGTAGACATGTCCACATTTTGGCCTTTTCTTTGTCGATTTTCATAAGAATTGGTGCTCATACGCACAAAATGATGATGAAGCCTCACTAGCATCAGTGTTACCACTAAAGGATCACGTGACCATCAAATTCTGAGCGTGGAAACTCAAGAGGGGGTAGAAGTGAAGAGGTTTTGTGATTCGAGTGGAGGAGGAAGGAGGCGTCTCATTCACATTCAGCACTCATTCATATTCTCTCGACACGTGCATTTTACTACAGGCAGGAAGTAGCAGCAGCTGGAGACTCTTAACCCCCGTCACAACGAGAAGTATCTCTTCCCCTGTCAACACTGAATTATGTTATTTGGCCTCCTTCAAAGGGCAATAGCTCATTCAAAGCTCATTTCCACGCTCATTTCAACACCCATCAACGCTGAGCTGAAAAGAGGCTTTAAAAATATCTCTCTGCAGCTGTACCGTGTGTGTGTGTGTGTGTGTGTGTGTGTGTGTGTGTGTGTGTGTGTGTGTGTGTGTGTGTGTGTGTGTGTGTGTGTGTGTGTGTGTGTGTGTGTGTGTGTGTGTGTGTGTGTGTGTGTGTGTGTGTGTGTGTGTGTGTGTGTGTGTGTGTGTGTGTGTGTGTGTGTGTGTGTGTGTTGCTCTTCCCTACACACTGGCTCTGTTGTAATTGGTAGTTACAGCTGTAGAAATGTACAGTGTGATGACGCTGATGCTCTAATGCTCGTCCTCTTGCAGCATCATTGAGTCATAAGGCTGGGGGGGTTATATATGATATATGTTTGTTTCGAGAGATGCTGTAACTCCATACGTTACGTTCACACACACCGGGATCTAGAAAAGGTTGAATTTGAGCCGTTGTTTACTTCAGGCAGGTGACAGCAAAGCTTGTAAACTGGGGGAAACTGCAAGAAAAAAGTACCACATTTTGGGGAGTTTTGAGGAGATGACAGTAAGAAAGTGAAGCGGAACAAATTAACTTAAAGGCTCATATTCAAATTTGTAATGCACATTTAAAGGGTCAGTTCACCCAAATCACAAAGAAACTCTGTCCCTAGAACAACCCCGAGTCATCCAGAGCTTTTGGGGATGGTTTTACGCTATGATTGGACAAATACTTCAGCCTCAACATACAACATTATACTAGACATAAATACAATGTATTTGTGAGCACAAAAACACGTGTTTGCATAATTGTCAAACCAAATCATATTTTAATAACCAAAAAAACACTTACAGTAAAATTAGCATGTGTTTCGGCACATTTGTGATTTCTTTATTTGCATTGACGTTAAAACTGCAGCGCGTTTCTCCAAATGGAAATGTTTTGTGACGTTGTGACGTGTTGGCACCTGTTGGCCACCGTAGTTTCAGACTAAAATAAAACACACAATGTGATCAGCACAAGACAACACACACACACAGAATAAAATCATATTATAGAAAAACCCAGACATTCGAAGCTCCTGAATATTCAATAATAATATGAATCGTCAAAGATAAACACAGACGATCCACATCAGAAACACTTCTCTCGGTTCAAATGAGAACACGATGATTTATTTATTCATTCAGGGACGTTTCCAGCAGTGAAGACTGAAAACAAGAGGGCACGGTTTAATGGACTCTTTCTGTGTGATCTGTAGAAACAATCTGTAAATGCTGTGTGTGTTCAAACTGCAGATATGTGATGGAGACGGAGAGTACTTCAGGTATAAATGAAGAAGTGTGAAGAATAGGAGTGCTGCAAACGGATCGACGTTTTGTTCAATTCTCAAGGATTTCCTGCAATGGGTTGGAGAGGTTTTGTTAGTGTTTTTCGAACATAAACGCTCCTCAAAGATGAAAATATGGGGATTTTGAGTTGAAATGTACGTAGGCAGGGTCCAAAATCAGCATTTAGTATCTGTTGCGTCAAGCTTTGGGTTAAAACTGTCCCTTTTACAGCAGAATATCATCATTTCATCACAAGGAAATCATAGCACAACAAAATGGCACAAAAACTGTTTATTCCAGAAAACAAGGTAATATTTCTTCATATTTCTGCGATCAAGTCCCAAAATGCTGACGTTGACCCGCTATCCTACCCTAATATTTAATATCAGCACTTTTCTTCTGCAGGCTTCATACATGTGAGCGTGGAAAGTGACATGAACTATATTTACTGCACAAACTGTTATATTGTATGCATGTGGAGTTATTGTACAGAATCTGTAATATCTATTCTATATTTTCTAAAATAGTATATGTTAATGTTCTTATTAGTATTTCCCAGGGTTTCTATTCGTATATCTATGAACACGTGTGCATGCTCAGTTTGAGACCGTGGGGTCAGATGTGATGCTCTGATGATGAAGTGCCTGATTTCCACTATGATGACGAGATGATCCACATTTTGCATGAAGCTTTTCTTCTCGTTGCTCTCTGTGAATGCTGCTGTACGACTGCATGCATGACATGTGAATACAGGATGTAAAGACCTGGACCAGGACTGAGGTCCAAGTGGAACAAGACTCAGGTTCAGATCCACAACAGGACAACATGAAGTCAAAACAAGACCAAGACTAGACCAAGACAAGACCAAGACTAGACCAAGACAAGACCAAAACTAGACCAAGACTAGACCAAGACAAGACCAAAACTAGACCAAAACTAGACCAAGACAAGACCAAAACTAGACCAAAACAAAACCAAGACTAGACCAAGACTACACCAAGACCAAGACTAGACCAAGACAAGACCAAAACTAGACCAAGACAAGACCAAGACTAGACCAAAACTAGACCAAAAGAAAACCAAGACTAGACCAACACTACACCAAGACCAAGACTAGACCAAGACTAGACCAAGACAAGACCAAAACTAGACCAAAACTAGACCAAAACAAGACCAAAACAAAACCAAGACTAGACCAAGACTAGACCAAGACTAGACCAAGACTAGACCAAGACCAAGACTAGACCAAGACTAGACCAAGACTACACCAAGACCAAGACTAGACCAAGACAAGACCAAGACTAGACCAAGACTAGACCAAGACAAGACCAAAACTAGACCAAGACTAGACCAAGACAAGACCAAAACACTTATTTAATATTTAGGAATTTATTGTTATTTGATGGCAAATATTATTAATATGAGAAAAGCTGTTATAGTGACTTGAGCCCCTTAAGTTTACTTGGCTTTCTATAGCTGAACAAATAAGTATTTACAAAATAAAGGTCCAGAGACGAGTCTGAAACACTGATTCTGTAGAGACAGAGACGAGTCTGAAACACTGATTCTGTAGAGACAGAGACGAGTCTGAAACACTGATTCTGTAGAGACAGAGACGAGTCTGAAACACTGATTCTGTAGAGACAGAGACGAGTCTGAAACACTGATTCTGTAGAGACAGAGACGAGTCTGAAACACTGATTCTCTAGAGACAGAGACGAGTCTGAAACACTGATTCTCTAGAGTGAAACATTGAGTCTGAAACACTGATTCTGTAGAGTCTGAAACATTGAGTCTGAAACACTGATTCTCTAGAGTCTGAAACATTGAGTCTGAAACACTGATTCTTCAGTCCTGGTCCGGTCTGCATGTTGAGACCCTGCAGCTCCAGAAAGCTCTTTTTGTACCAAGTTTTGTCGTTGCCAATAAAACCCAGAAGATTCCCCGCTGAGGGAACGTCTGTCCGCCATCTGTCTCCTTTTTCTGACTCCTTGTTCCTGTCTCCTTGTTTCTGTCTCCTTGTTTCTGTCTCCTTGTTCCTGTCTCCTCGTTTCTGTCTCTCCTTGTTTCTGTCTCTCCTTGTTCCTGTCTCCTTGTTTCTGTCTCCTTGTTCCTGTCTCCTCGTTTCTGTCTCTCCTTGTTTCTGTCTCCTTGTTCCTGTCTCCTTGTTCCTGTCTCCTTGTTCCTGTCTCCTCGTTTCTGTCTCCTTGTTTGTCTTAATTCTGAGAATGAGGCTTTATTTTAACCAACAACAACTAACCCACGGCAGCTCGTCCTCCTCAGATTTGCTGGTAGAGATTTCCAGTTGTGGATTTACAGATTAAGGAAAGTATTTTGTGTTTTTGGCCGCAGTTTAATCTTCGGCAGCAGATGCTTTGGTTTTAAGATGTAGCCTCCGAACACTGATGATGATCTGCTTTTGTACATTTTATTAGCTGTTCAGTTGAACCTTTGTTCCTTCTCAAAGTAAGGGAGTATTGAGATTTATTTGACTCATTTTAAAGAGCTTTTATCTGTTCCTTACATTAATTATGTGGCGTTGGATCACTCAAATCTACTATTTATTTCCCTAAAGTGATTTAAAGTAAAGCCAAACAATAGTGATCTCGTTTTGTATCACCATACTCCCATTATGTATTATAAGATAAAGAGTATAGCATAAAAAAAAGGTATTTCCTAAGAGTCTTTAAAATGTCTTAAAAAATAACTATACATTTATTTGGTTATATTTCCAGACCCAGTGATGAACGGTGTGTTAAACCTCATTTCAGCATTTTAAAGGGGACCTATCATGCACTTTTGTACGTCTTTTCTACATGAATATGTGTCCCCGGTGTTCCAGGGAACTCACCAAGTGTCAGAAAACACAACCCTCTCTATTTTCCTCCATACCCAAATCTCTAAAAAAGGGGCTGCAACGGATCTGATAAAAACTGATCCAGATTTGAACACTGTCCTGACGTCAGGACGGTGGCGCTACGGCTATTGGGCCAACTCCACCAATCAGGAGGAGACAGCCACGGCCATTGCCGTTCGAAAGCGCTGGAGACGCTGTAGTACATATGCCAGGCCAGTAGATGGTGCTGTTCTCACTGAATCAGCCCTTGCAAAAACAGAGCTAGAAAATGTCAAATTGAGTGAAATGAGGCATGGCTAAAATGCATGATCTGTTTGGTATTTTGAAAAAAAAAAAGTATAAATATGCCTTATATAGGTATGGTCCTACACTATATTATTCAAATATAGCATGATAGGTCCACTTTAAGTAAATGAGAAAAAATAGGTTTTAAATTCAAGTTTTTCACTTTTTGGAAATTAAATTAATGAAGTAATCTGCATTTTGTTTGGGTCTCAAAGTCTCAGGATAAGGATCAGTTAGAAGGACTTAAGTGTTTAGAGTAAATAAAGAACACCTGAACTTTTGAAAGGACATCCATAACATGAATCTGTTTGCAACTTATATATCAATATTCAAATTACTGTATATATATAATATTCTGCACTATTTCTGTTATATCGTCCTGTATCGTCCTGTATGGCTCATCATCCTACATTCTAAATAAACTGCAATATATCCAGAACTGCGCTGCCCGCCTCCTCACCCACACCCGCTCCAGAGACCACATCACCCCGTCCTCCAGACCCCACACCCGCTCCAGAGACCACATCACCCCGTCCTCCAGACCCCACACCCGCTCCAGAGACCACATCACCCCGTCCTCCAGACCCCACACCCGCTCCAGAGGACCACCATCACCCCGTCCTCCAGACCCCCACACCCGCTCCAGAGACCGCATCAACCCCGTCCTCCAGACCGCCACACCCGCCTCCAGAGACCACATCACCCCCGTCCTCCAGACCCCACACCCGCTCCAGAGACCGCATCACCCCGTCCTCCAGACCCCACACCCGCTCCAGAGACCACATCACCCCGTCCTCCAGACCCCACACCCGCTCCAGAGACCGCATCACCCCGTCCTCCAGACCCCACACCCGCTCCAGAGACCACATCATCCCCGTCCTTCCAGACCCCACACCCGCCTCCAGAGGACCGCATCACCCCGTCCTCCAGGACCGCACACCCGCTCCAGAGACCACATCACCCCGTCCTCCAGACCCCACACCCGCTCCAGAGACCGCATCACCCCGTCCTCCAGACCCCACACCCGCTCCAAAGACCACGTCACCCCATCCTCCAGACCCCACACCCGCTCCAGAGACAACATCACCCCGTCCTCCAGACCCCACACCCGCTCCAGAGACCACATCACCCCGTCCTCCAGACCCCACACCCGCTCCAGAGACCGCATCACCCCGTCCTCCAGACCCCACACCCGCTCCAGAGACCGCATCACCCCGTCCTCCAGACCCCACACCCGCTCCAGAGACCGCATCACCCCGTCCTCCAGAACCCACACCCGCTCCAGAGACCACATCACCCCGTCCTCCAGACCCCACACCCGCTCCAGAGACCACATCACCCCGTCCTCCAGACCCCACACCCGCTCCAGAGACCACATCACCCGTCCTCCAGACCCCACACCCGCTCCAGAGACCACATCACCCCGTCCTCCAGACCCCACACCCGCTCCAGAGACCACATCACCCCGTCCTCCAGACCCCACACCCGCTCCAGAGACCACATCACCCCGTCCTCCAGACCCCACACCCGCTCCAGAGACCACATCACCCCCGTCCTTCAAAACCTGCACTGGCTCCCTGTCCGTCAACGAATACACTTCGAAATCCTTCTGCTAACACACAAAGTTCTCAACAACCAGCCCCCGCCCCCCTACCTCACCGACCTGATCCATACACCCCTTCCCGCAGCCTTCGCTCATCAGAAACCAATCTCCTTTCTATCCCCACACGAACCAAGCACCAAACCTGGGGGGACAGAGCCTTCTCCATCGCTGCCCTGGAGAAGGCTCTGGAACTCCCTTCCACAACACATCAGAGACTGCACCGACCCCCCACCCCCCCCCCCCCCCCCCACCTTCAAAACACTGACCAAAACACACCTCTTCAGACTGGCTTTTAATTTGTGAATTATGTTGTGTTTGTGTCATTTCTATTATATCTCGTTTTATCACCACTGTAAAGTGTCTTTGAGCACCAGAAAAAGCGCTTGGAAATTAAATGTATTATTATTATTATTATTATTATTATATTACGCGCTTTGAGCACCAGGAAAAGCGCTATATAAATGTAATGTATTATTATTATTATTATATTATATTTTATTTGTATTTACTTGCACTATTTTATCTGTTTTATTGTGTTGCACTGTTGGAGGAGCGTAATATGTAATTGTCATAACTACGCTGTAGCTACCTACAAATTACAATAAAAGCCTTGAATCCTTGAATCTTGAATCAGATGTCCTCAAACAAAACAAAGAAACAACCCATGTTTTGTTTGATTTGTTTTGTTCTTCCTCCTCTGAAGAGACGCAGGATGAAATCTGGAGCGTCATCATTGTGCTTACTCAGTCTCCTAGCAACAGGAAACATCTGCCTCCGAGAGGACCAATCAGGACGCCACGCAAAGAGAGGTGTGTGTGTGCGTGTGCGTGTGCGTGTGTGTGTGTGTGTGTGTGTGTGTGTGTGTGTGTGTGTGTGTGTGTGTGTGTGTGTGTGTGTGTGTGTGTGTGTGTGTGTGTGTGTGTGTGTGTGTGTGTGTGAACGGGATATTTTAGGAGGCGTCTCACCCCTTTAGGAGCTCTGGAGCTGGAAGTGTCTGCAGGGACCGAGAGAGCGACTGAATTCAGGCCGGAAAAGAGCGTCTGTGAGTCGGCGTGAGAACGGTGGATTTGTCGCCGAAGAGCGGAGCATTTTACCGGAGAAAGAGAGGCTTTAAAACTCGGATTAACTGACCTGCTGCTGGGCTGAATCATAGGTAAGAAGCTCGGATATCTGATGGATTTAATGGAGGTGCACTTTGCATTTCAAACAGCAGCTATACTCTCTTTTTGAAACTGCGCATTGGACAAGTTTAGCTTTCAAACGTGGTGGATGAACAACACACAGGAGAATAGGACAAAAAACAGTGAGATTTAGAAGTGAGATCAAATTAAAATAACATGCAAACCGAAGAAAAACATAATATATGTGCATAATTCTACATAATAATATATTTTAAACTATCTTAAAATAAAAGGAATACACGCAATTTGTACATCAAGTGAATCTCAGGACTCCAAATGAGATGGTTTTACATTTTTCAGATAAACTAAGAGATTGAGAGTTCTTCTATGGGTTAATAAAAGTGTCTTCATAATCATAATAATGTAATATATAACTATATAATGGATTATTGTTGCACATGTCAAAACACAGGGCTAAAAAGTGCTATTTTGATTAAAGTAGGTTAAAAAGGAAAAGCACGTTAAATGAACATGTTTGTAATTCAGCTGTTTTACCCCGTAGAGTATCTGAGTATCACACACACACACACACACACACACACACACACACACACACACACACACACACACACACACACACACACACACACACACGCTTCCCACGCATCCCTCTCTCATGCATCATTCTACTCAGCAGTCGGTTGTTAAACTGAGTCACCGCAGCAGCTTCAGGGAAAGCTGGCGAGAACGATAAAGCTTCCCACTCTGTGTTTATGATTGATTTATGGCATTTTAAATAACACACACACACACACACACACACACACGCACACGCACACGCACACGCACACGCACGCACACACACACACACACACACACTCACACACTGCCCTCTTATCTCTCCTCCTCCTCTTTCTTGAATCTTAATGAGCTTCTAAGGAAAACAGATTTTCTTTTTTCTTCACTGCTTTATAAATAATAAAGGGTAAACCCAGGATGTAATATAGCAGTGCCTACAGAGGGTTTTAATGTGAAAATCCTTCAAATAAATTGCAGACATATTGACGTCAATAAGACATTTAATATCACATTTCATCCAAAAAATGAACGTTCATATTATTCATTTTTAATCACATTTTATTTACATTTATTTGATTGATTTTCGTTTCATTCTCGTTTTGAAGGTGGCCTTTCTTCTGATAATGGGTTTTTTGTTTGATGTCTCTTTACAAAAAGAGCTGCTTTCATTGATCCTTTACACCAAAAACATGTCGACATTATCCTCAGGCTGTTTGGAATATCAATTATATTTCAAGTAAGACAGCACCTAAAATGTTATCAAGGGGTTCAAATGGGCGTTATCGGATATCGATAAGTAACAACGTAGTAGATGTTATCATTGGTTTTCATGATTGATCCCAAAAAGAAGGACTAAAAACATCCATGCTGTAGAAAGGTGATTTAAGATGACAACAGTTGAGGTTTAAGAAAAGAAAATATCCAATTACATGTTGGCATCTCTGAAAGATGGTTTACTTCCTTCATGATAAAATTATTTATTGTTTTTCCTCCTCCTCCTCCTTCTCCTCCTTCTCCTCCTCCTCCTCCTCCTCCTCCTCCTCCTCCTCCTCCTCCTCCTCCTCCTCCTCCTCCTCCTCCTCCTCCTCCTCCTCCTCCTCCTCCTCCTCCTCCTCCAGGAGATGTGGAGGTACATGTCAGTGAAGAGGCAGTGATTCAGCAGCTGAGCATCATCTGTGGATCTTCAGCAGGTAATCAGAGCTCCTTTCTGTCACCTCCTTTCCTCCCAGTGACTCATGTGATCACCAGGCATCACTACTGCTTTCCCTGGTGATGGAAACAGGTGATTTGATGGCCCTATAAAACACGTACATGTAATATCGTGTCCGTGCAACAAGCTGCTTTTGACATAGTATCAGCCTAAAGTTAAAATAGCGTACATTTGAGCACCAGTGGCACACATCCAACAGACACAAATAAACCATCATCTTGAATGCTTTTAGCTCAGGTTTGGTCTCCACCCAATGTTACTGTACTGTACAGCTAAAGGCTCTAAAAACCAAAACCAAATATGCAACTCAAGCTGTATAACTCTAAAATGTGGCTTTGAATAGTTTCTAAGCTGTATTCATCTCAATTGATTGAATGTTGAATGTGATATATAAATATGAAATTCAGTGGCCTCAAATATCCTAATTTTCTCCAACCTCATTATATGAACCTCTAACAGAGGGCTCAGCACATGCTTTAATTGTGTTGTTGGGTAAAAAAATGTCCCCTCTGTTAAATAATCTAATGTCTGTTTTTCGTTTCCTCCAGCAGCCCCTTCCCTGTGAGAGAAACAAACCTTCAACAACGTCGAAAGTTGCTTACTTCAAGAGGAAATATGCGGAGGAGGAGGATTTGCACAGAGGCCTACGTGGATATCTTCAAAAAGTATGTCCTGCCTTTTGATCAGAATTTCCTTTCACTATTCATGTCTTTCTTAAAGCCCCTGATTTTCTGTGGTTTTCATCCTTGACCCATCTCAAGTGTTTGTCATCTTTGCATTGTATAGGTTTTCTTTACATTTCTGTGTGTGTTGCCTTTCTGTTTGTGATTATAACCCTGAGCATCTTCTCTCTTTGTGCCATTACATCCTTTTCCTTGATGACTTTCAATCTCTCATTGCAAAAGTGAATACTAACGATTCTCCATTCTCTGCTTCGATGCAGACGAATCCTCTATGTTCATGACAGTAGTGTCTCTACTTTAAAGAGTCCTCCCTGCTGATGTTCAGGTGTATATCAGTATGTAGTGTCTCTACTTTAAAGAGTCCTCCCTGCTGATGTTCAGGTGTATATCAGTATGTAGTGTCTCTACTTTAAAGAGTCCTCCCTGCTGATGTTCAGGTGTATATCAGTATGTAGTGTCTCTACTTTAAAGAGTCCTCTCCTGTTGATGTTCAGGTGTATATCAGTATGTAGTGTCTCTACTTTAAAGAGTCCTCCCTGCTGATGTTCAGGTGTATATCAGTATGTAGTGTCTCTACTTTAAAGAGTCCTCTCCTGCTGATGTTCAGGTGTATATCAGTATGTAGTGTCTCTACTTTAAAGAGTCCTCTCCTGCTGATGTTCAGGTGTATATCAGTATGTAGTGTTTCTACTTTAAAGAGTCCTCTCCTGCTGATGTTCAGGTGTATATCAGTATGTAGTGTCTCTACTTTAAAGAGTCCTCCCTGCTGATGTTCAGGTGTATATCAGTATGTAGTGTCTCTACTTTAAAGAGTCCTCCCTGCTGATGTTCAGGTGTATATCAGTATGTAGTGTCTCTACTTTAAAGAGTCCTCTCCTGTTGATGTTCAGGTGTATATCAGTATGTAGTGTCTCTACTTTAAAGAGTCCTCCCTGCTGATGTTCAGGTGTATATCAGTATGTAGTGTCTCTACTTTAAAGAGTCCTCTCCTGCTGATGTTCAGGTGTATATCAGTATGTAGTGTCTCTACTTTAAAGAGTCCTCTCCTGCTGATGTTCAGGTGTATATCAGTATGTAGTGTCTCTACTTTAAAGAGTCCTCTCCTGCTGATGTTCAGGTGTATATCAGTATGTAGTGTCTCTACTTTAAAGAGTCCTCTCCTGCTGATGTTCAGGTGTATATCAGTATGTAGTGTCTCTACTTTAAAGAGTCCTCTCCTGCTGATGTTCAGGTGTATATCAGTATGTAGTATCTCTACTTTAAAGAGTCCTCTCCTGCTGATGTTCAGGTGTATATCAATATGTAGTGTCTCTACTTTAAAGAGTCCTCTCCTGCTGATGTTCAGGTGTATATCAGTATGTAGCGTCTCTACTTTAAAGAGTCCTCTCCTGCTGATGTTCAGGTGTATATCAGTATGTAGTGTCTCTACTTTAAAGAGTCCTCTCCTGCTGATGTTCAGGTGTATATCAGTATGTAGTGTCTCTACTTTAAAGAGTCCTCTCCTGCTGATGTTCAGGTGTATATCAGTATGTAGTGTCTCTACTTTAAAGAGTCCTCTCCTGCTGATGTTCAGGTGTAGATCAGTATGTAGTGTCTCTTCTTTAAAGAGTCCTCTCCTGCTGATGTTTAATGATGATTTAATGTTGTAGAACAAAACGTGATCCGTCTCTTCAATGTGTCTCAACCACAGACCTTATTTCCAGATATTTCAACCCAGTCTCACAAAAGAACGTGTAATAGCTCCGTTTGTCCACAGGGCAAAACGTAGTATATTCACAAATAACCCTCTCAAGACGTGACAAGGATACAATATTTTGTAAAAAAAAAAACATGGAGCTCAAATAATCTTCCCAATATCTATCAAACTATGGATCCTACACATCCACTGGACGTAGATTCTACAAGTACAATATAAACTTCTCGCTAAATGTAATCAAAAAGCATTTTAACCAAACTATCCTACAATTTAGGATTTTCCACTAAAGATAAATCGGGTGTCCGCCATGTTTTTTTTTCTCACGCTGGGAAAGTTTGTGATCACGTGACATGGACACTGGTCGTTAGAAATGAATAGGACAAAAATATTGTATCCATGTCACGTCTTGAGAGGGTTATTTGTGAATATACTACGTTGTGCCCTGTGGACAAACGTAGCTATTACACGTTCTTTTGTGAGGCTGGGTTGGCTATTTTCCAAAAACTAGTTCAAACATCCCGTTGACTCTGAGACGAGGGAACAGGAAGTGGTCAAATGCTAACTCACTTCCGGGTTTTAGGACTCATTCCTGCACCACTCTATTGCTAGGAATGAACTCTAAAGCAGCGGTTCTCAACTGGTCAGGCCTCCGGACCCACTTTTTCCTTTGTCAATAAATCGCGACCCGAAATGTTGAACCACTCAAATCTATTCAACAAAAAATCGTGCTGTAATATATACGCTTTTCAGCATACAAGATTCATTAAAGTGAAGTACAGTGCATCCCTTATATCCCTTCACAGAACTAAAGTATGCTTTTAAAAAAGGTTTAATGAGATGATGGAATCAAAGCTGAACTGTATCACACAAAAAGGCACACATGCTGAAAAACCCACCCCAGCAGGGGGTCTGGGGGGATTCTCCCCCAGGAGATTTTTTGAAATTCTAACATCTAAACTACGCATTCTGGTACACTCTATTACTACCCGACATATTAATAATATTTTATGCCATTGTTTGTTTTTCACTTTGTTCTGAAGCTGAACTTGCTGCTCCGCACAGAGAGAAGAGCAAAGAGGAGAGAGTTTGTGTGAATTACTTTAAATGGTGGGTAAGGGTAGATAGCCCCCATTGTTCTGTGACCTGTCAATCATCAAACCGGGGGTCATATTTCATTATGTGTTCATTTGTATCTGAAGTTGTACCCATGGATGTATAAAGAATAGTTCTACCGTAAAGTTATTCTCCGTGGGGACAGCAAAGATGTTTTATTGAGAAGATGATCACTACGTGACAGAAGTTTTCAAAACCGTTTATGGTCTCCGGTACTTCCAGTCCGACGCCGACTGCATGCACAGCGTTAGAAAATCCGGCTTTCAAAATAAAAAAATAAAAATTTCAATTTATTTTTCTTCGCTCACACATCTGCGACCCACTCGAAACGGGTCCGCGACCCACTTTTGGGTCGCGACCCACCAGTTGAGAACCACTGCTCTAAAGCCTTCTGTGTTTCTTCTTCTGCAGCACCTGATACTGCAGGAGGATCGGAGCTGCATCCTGAAGCTTTCCCTGGAAAAACTGAGGTTTCTGGAGGATCCTGAAGCCTACCTGAGGCGCTCCGTCCTCATCAACAACCTGCTGAGGAAGATCCACCATGAAGAGGAGGAACTGGAGGAAGAGGAGGAGGAAGAAGAGGAAGAGGTAGAAGAACAGGAGGAGGAAGAAGAAGATGAGGAGGTGATAGGAGAGAGGAGGTTGTTTTACCCGGACAGGAAGAGGGTTAAAGTGCTGGTGATGGATTGTTGCTCTCCAGCGTTTGGCCTGGAGGAGCTTCAGAAGTACAAATTGGTGCCGTTTTACCCGTCGTCCGGATGCCTTTACAGCCTGGGAGCCTGTCCAGGAATCACCCCGAACCACCAGGTGCTTCTGTACAACCTGGACGACAACGGATGATCCTCCAATCAGAGAGGGCAACATTACACACATCCTTCACTCAAGTAGAAGTACAGATACTCGTGTTTAAAAATACTCTGGTGAAAGTAGAAGTACTGACTAAACTTCTTTACTCAAGTCAAAGTAAAGAGGGCTTTGAAATGTACTTCAGTAAAAAGTACCCATAACTAGCAGCTGTTTTAAAGAGTACCTGACCTCCCTTTATATTAATAGAACAATAATGTCATTGTTAGCTAATGAATGTTTCCATGCTGAACAACGGCAACATGACAACGTTTTCATTGGTCCCTCTTCTTTAGAGAAGACCAGGAAATGATGGATACACGGATCGTGTTCAAATCAATAGGCACGCAATGACTCTAAATAATAATGATCACGCCACCAAACACACATTCAAACTAAAGGAACCAGCCTGTTTGGAAAATGTAACAAGTAGAAAGTACAGGTATTTGGGTTCAACATGTAAGAAGTAGAAAGTACAGGTATTTGTGTTCAAAATGTAAGAAGTCAAAGTAAAAAGTTGTCAGAAAAATAAATAGTGGAGTAAAGTACTGATACCAGAAACATGTAAGTACAGTAACGAAGTCCACTACTTCCCACCTCTGTCCAGACGTCACTTTCAGGCCTTTTTTTAAAGGAAATGTATCAGTTCACGTTACGAGCAAGTGGATATAATGCCTACTGTTTGTTTAAAATCACCTGAAGGGAAGCTGCTGTTGTTTAAAACCGTCGAGGGACAGGTGGCGTAGGGTCTATTTTGTTTGTTTATATCCAGGATCAACAGGGTTTTTGAAGTCAATCTCTGTCTCAGCGTCACTGCCATTTTACTGAAATTGTGAGAGACTTGAAACAGGCTGTTGTTGTTGTTGTGTTATGGATTCTTATTGTTATTGTTGCTCATGTGAACCGTGAGCGTTTTCAGGGATGTACAGACCGTAAGCCACTATTTTTTGATGCACCTTGGCTTATACGTGCTGAATGCTTACGTCACCTTTTTATGCTACTTTGTGATTTATGAAATATTGTTTGTAACATTCCCTGGACTGTGTGAATTGTCCTGATATCTCAAGATATGTTCTGAGGTTTGTTTACTTCCTGTGGGAAGACTGTTTCTCTGTGATTATTGTCCTGTGTTTTGCATCACTCTGCTGCCCCCTGCTGGTGAAATCACTCACATTACAGCCCTTTCTAGTGGCTGCTGTGTTCAAGTCTCACAATGAAAGGGAAAGAAAAGTAATTATGGAACTTAAAACTCCCAATTTAGCATTCACAAGCAGTATATAAGCATTTAATAAGTTGAATGGAGGCTTGTGTAACAAGTCCTTACTTTTCTTATAGTTGAGAAGTGAAAGAACTTGAGTGGCTTCTTGTTTCTTCTCAGTTTAGTTTTTCATTTACTGAACCCAAATGATAATGATTTTCAGCACTATTGTGGTTTAAAGCTGAAATGGGCACTCATATATCAGGTCATTCTGAAGTTCAGTTTCAAAATAAAAGACCTTTGAAATCTCATGAGCTATCGTCCCTCTATTTTTTTCAGTGGCGAACCGTGTCTATCACAACTGGACCTTCTGTAGACACACCGGCCCCCCCGCCGTTATAATGTCCGTCTTTTCACTGAATTGTCATCTTGAAAAGGGTACTCACAACATGCCGCAACACCATGATCTTCACCTGTTGCACTTGCCGTTTCAACGTGTAGGTGTGCGTCATATGAGAGGCCCCGCCTTACATCTTCCGCCACAGATTTGGGGAAATTGGTCCGTGCGCAAAGCATTGTGGGGATTTTAAGACCGCGGAGTCTACTCATGTGCAGCCTCGATATTTCCCCAAACGGAGTATGCCGGGCTCGGTAGATTTCCAAGTATGCTGGAGATTGGAACAGTACTTCGGCGGCACTCGATGACGTAGTATGCTTGAAATAGTGGCTCTGAAGCAGCTTTACTCACATTGAGAAACACCCACAGTCTCGAGCCAGTGAACTACCGGGCCTTCTAGAGCAGTGGTTCTCAACTGGTGGGTCGCGACCCAAAAGTGGGTTGCGGACCCGTTTCGAGTGGGTTTTTTTTTTTTTAAAGTCAAACTTTTATTTTGAAGGCCCGATTTTCTAACGCTGTGCATGCAGTAGGCGTTGGACTGGAAGTACCGGAGACCATAAAACGGTTTTGAAAACTTCTGTCACGTAGTGATCATCTTCTCAATAAAACATCTTTGCTGATGTTTTTTCGAGTCTTCTGGCCAATCAGAATCAAGATTGTTGCCGGAAGTCCCCACGGAGAATAACTTTGCAGTAGAACTACTCTTTATACATCCATGGGTACAACTTCAGATAAAAATGAACACATAATTAAATATGACCCCCGGTTTGATGATTGACAGGTCACAGAACAATGGGGGCTCAGCTTCTTGTTTCTGGACTTCTTGTTTCTGGACTTCTTGTTTCTGGACTTCTTGTTTCTAGAATATGATATGTTTCTGCATCCATCCCCTGTCGGCCACTAGAGGAACTGCAGTTTGTGGCACTTCCTTCTGGGCTTCCCAGCTCTGCGCTATGATGCGCTGATTGGCTGTGGGTGGGCCAGACGTGCGTGTGGGTGGGCCCAGGCCCACCCGGGCCCACCCACAGCTACGTCACTGTCCTGGACATTGGAACAGTCCTTCGGCGGGACTCGATGATGTAGCATCCTTGAAATAGTGGCTCTGGAGCACATTAACACCCATAATGTCTGTCTCTGGGACTGTGGGTGTTTCTCAATGTCGAGGAAGGCTGCTCCAGAGCCACTATTTCAAGGATGCTACGTCATCGAGTGCCGCCGAAGGACTGTTCCAATGTCCAGCATGCTTGGAATTCTACTGAGGCCGGCGTCCTTCGTTGCGGGAAATTTCGAGGCTGCACATGTGTATCCTCCGCGGTCTTAAAATCCCCACAATGCTTTGCGCACGGACCAATTTCCATTTAAGGCGGGGCCTCGCATATGACGCACACCTGCACACCTGTTAGCCTGTTCCACCATTCTTCGTTCTAGGAAGGATTCTTGCCTCGCTTCTGAAGGACCTGACTCGGAGGGACATGTCCTACCAAGGAAGCGTCCTCGACATTGAGAAACACCCTCTGTGTTCATCCAAAACAAAGTCACCACCCAGCTGTAAACAAAAGAAAGGAAATCAACAAATAACTATATATAACGCCTTATTTCTCAGAAGTCAGAAAGCAGATTTTTTTTTCTGAATAATTTGCCTTTTTTCTCAGAATCTTGCCTTTTTTTTTGGAATTCTGCCTTTTTCTCTGATTTCTTTCATAATTTTCAACAAAAAACGCTATACAACACCTCATTTGCATATTTAAACGGTCAGAAAACTTGTAATATTAAATATAATTGTGTTAAGGTCAGTAATGAAGTGGGGAAGTTTCATGGTGATATCTGGTAGTTAAATATTTTACCCCATTCACCTGTAGTGTGTACAACAGGTATGAATTTTACAACCCAGATCTTTAAAGTTCGTTTCAAGTTTACTATCGATCAAATACAGTCTGAGGGGCTCAGGCTTCCTCCATCTTCTTGCATAACTTGATTTGATTCGTAATTATTCTATAAATATACATTTAGATTTATTTGCAAGCCGTCTCTAGGGTTAGGCGTCTCAATGATATGTTTCAAATATAGACCCGAGACCCCTTTTTATTGTTCCATTCAAAGAAACATTACCAGCTAACGTTAAAGAACATTTGCCCTTATGATGAGTCGTGATATTTAACTCTTCTTCACATTCAAATAATCTACTTTTAACATTTAGCAGTGCCCCTGTCTTGTTAGTAAATGTGTAAAAAAGCCCTAATATCTTAATTCTCATCAAACACAAAGATAGTTGTTTTTGTTTCTTTTTATTGATATGAATCTCACACATTTATATTCTCCACATTAATCCACAGACTGCATCTCCAGGTCTCTCTGAATTTGGCCTTCTTCCTCCTTATTCTGCTCCTCTTCCTCCCTTAGCCCCGCCTCCTCCTCCTCAGGGAGCTCCTGTGATTGGCTGTCAGTCTCTGTGGGGATGGTATGAGAGATGAGGAAGATTTCCTGCAGGCGGCTCTGCTCTGCTTTCAGCTTATTTCTCTCTTTGCTCAGCAGAGTTTCAGCCGGAAGAGATTCAGCTTCTTGTTTCTGGACTTCTTGTTTCTGGACTTCTTGTTTCTGGACTTCTTGTTTCTGGACTTCTTGTTTCTAGAATATGATATGTACAAGAACAGAATATGAAATGAAATAATGTACATTAAGACCAAATTAAATACGGTGATAAGTATTGATATAAATAATGTTTCTTGACCTCTTGGACCTCTTGGACATTCTGGACCTCTTGGCCCTGCTGGACCTCTTGGCCCTTCTGGACCTCTTGGACCTTCTGGACGTCCTGTTTCTCCTCCAGTTTCTGGACCTCCTGCGGTGTTTCCTTCTCCGTGGATTGGGGAGCACTTCCTGCCTCCTGCACTTTGACAGAAGAACTCCTCCTCTCCTCCTGCAGAGCCCGACACAGGTTCTCCAGCTTCTGGTTCTTCACCAGGACCAGATCAAACTCCTTCTCCTTGATGCTTTTCTATGGAGAGGAGGAGGAACATGCAGGAGAAGTTAGAGCAGGGGTGTCCAAACTACGGCCCGCGGACCATTTTGAAACGGCCCTCAGCAAATTCAAATTGTATAATGAAATATGGTCCATAAATTAAACTTGTGCTTGTCATATATTGTACTAATTAAATATATATGTACAAATATATATCACAGTATTCATGTGTGCCCACGTCGTGTTTCTTACAGCGTTTTCAAGTATCAAGAATAATTCACCTACATTTGATTGATTTTGCTCACTTAGATATTAGCATATGAGGCAATAGACCTCTAGAGAGCGGCCCAGACCTTCGTATGTTTTTCTGGCCCTCGTGAAAAAACACACACACACACACACACACACACACACACACACACACACACACACACACACACACACACACACACACACACCTCTCTTTGCGTGCGTCCTGATTGGTCCTCTCGGAGGCAGATGTTTCCTGTTGACATATACATAAGTAAATATTGATTTTTCTTACGTCGTTCACCATCTCCACCAGGCCCTTGTTACAGTTGTCGAAGCGACTCTTCCACGACTGGCACTCTTTATCCAGTTTCTTCATCTTCTTCGCCATCTACAACATCAATATATACCATTAAAACACATAGAGAGATAGATAGATAGATAGATAGATAGATAGATAGATAGATAGATAGATAGATAGATAGATAGATAGATAGATAGATAGATAGATAGATAGATAGATAGATAGATAGATAGATAGATGGATGGATAGATAGATAGATAGATAGATAGATAGATAGATAGATAGATAGATAGATAGATAGATAGATAGATAGATAGATAGATAGATAGATAGATAGATAGATAGATAGATGGATAGATAGATAGATAGAGAGATAGGTGGATAGATAGATAGATAGATAGATAGATAGATAGATAGATAGATAGATAGATAGATAGATGGATAGATAGATAGATAGATGGATGGATAGATAGATAGATAGATAGATGGATAGATAGATAGATAGATAGATAGATAGATAGATAGATAGATAGATAGATAGAGAGATAGATAGATAGAAAAAGCCTCTCACTTTGTCCATGTCCAGTTTGAAGCCGCTGTACACGCTGTTGCTTTTCGACACGGTTCCCTGAAACTCATCGAACTTCTCCGAGTACATCGCCAGCTGAGGAGGTAAATGTTAAATTAAAAAGATGAAACAAACATCCAAGCAGGTGGGAAGGTATTACCAGAGATGGTAAGAGTACACACATCCTGTACTCAAGTAGAAGTACAGATACTCGTGTTTAAACATACTCTGGTAAAAGTAGAAGTACTGACTAAACTTCTTTACTCAAGTCAAAGTAAAGAGGCTTTGAAATGTACTTCAGTAAAAAGTACCCATAACTAGCAGCTGTTTTAAAGAGTACCTGACCTCCCTTTATATTAATAGAACAATAATGTCATTGTTAGCTAATGAATGTTTCCATGCTGAACAACGGCAACATGACAACGTTTTCATTGGTCCCTCTTCTTTAGAGAAGACCAGGAAATGATGGATACACGGATCGTGTTCAAATCAATAGGCACGCAATGACTCTAAATAATAATGATCACGCCACCAGACACACATTCAAACTAAAGGAACCAGCCTGTTTGGAAAATGTGAGAAGTAGAAAGTACAGGTATTTGGGTTCAACATGTAAGAAGTAGAAAGTACAGGTATTTGTGTTCAACATGTAAGAAGTAGAAAGTACAGGTATTTGTGTTCAAAATGTAAGAAGTAGAAAGTACAGGTATTTGTGTTCAACATGTAAGAAGTAGAAAGTACAGGTATTTGGGTTCAACATGTAAGAAGTAGAAAGTACAGGTATTTGTGTTCAACATGTAAGATGTAGAAAGTACAGGTATTTGGGTTCTACATGTAAGAAGTAGAAAGTACAGGTATTTGTGTTCAACATGTAAGAAGTAGAAAGTACAGGTATTTGTGTTCAACATGTAAGAAGTAGAAAGTACAGGTATTTGTGTTCAACATGTAAGAAGTAGAAAGTACAGGTATTTGGGTTCAACATGTAAGAAGTCAAAGTAAAAAGTCGTCAGGAAAATAAGTAGTGGAGTAAAGTACTGATACCAGGAACATGTACTTAAGTACATTAACAAAGTATTTGTATTTGTATTACCCATGATGCACTGCTCCTTTACCTGTATCTTCATGTCCGCCTCCTGCTCCCTCATCGTCTTCACTTTGGATTTAAACGTCGCCATCTGTGTCATAAGCTGTGGACCAATCAGAAGAGTTTAAGATAAGATATCCATCTATCTATCTATCTATCTATCTATCTATCTATCCATCCATCCATCCATCCATCCATCTATCCATCTATCTATCCATCTATCTCTCTATCTATCTCTCTCTCTATCTCTCTCTCTATCTCTATATCTCTCTCTATCTATCTATCTATCTATCTCTCTCTCTCTCTCTATATCTCTCTCTATCTATCTATCTATCTATCTCTCTCTCTCTCTCTCTATCTATCTATCTATCTATCCATCTATCTATCCATCTATCTATCCATCTCTAGCATCTGTATGAACATGTGAAAGATGATCAATGAGGGATATATTGTAATAAATAAAGAGTAAACGTACGAGCTCTCTCTCCAGCTTGTGCTTGTCCTCCGTCTCCTTCAGGATCACGTTGCTCTGCGTCAGCTTCGTCTCCAGCAGCTTCTGCTTCAGGTCTCTGTGTTTGAAAACCTTATCCAGGTTCTGAAGCACAAGCAGGGGGACATCATGTACATCAAATACTGAAGGTAGTACATGTAAAAGCACATGTGCAAAGAATGCCCTTTTCTGCATGCAGATGAAGATCAAATGTAGGATTTGATTGCAATCAAAACAAAACAGTTGTTAAAAATAGTCTAAAGTAGCGACAGTAAAAGTAGTCATTGTGCAGATTGGTCCATTTCAGAATAATATATATGATATGTTTTATAATGATTGATCATGAAAGTGTTCTCAAAGCTGGTAAAGGAGCAGCTAGTTTGAAGGACTTTGTATACTGCAGGGTAGCTTGTGGATTTACTCCAGGTGGAACTAAAGTCTGATTTAACACTTGATTATATTTCACATCATTCATCCAGATCTGTGAAGTAACTAAAGGTATTAAATACATGTAGTGGAGTAGAAGTACACCATTTACCTCTGAACTGAAGTGGAGTAGAAGTACAAGGTAGCATAAATGGAAATTGTTAGAGCCATTTTCTGTGTTGACAATGAGTGTATTATTTTCTTATTAATTTAGATCTTAATATATTCTTTCCATTTATGTATTAGTACCAAATTAAATATTCGGAGGAAAACTTTGATTTACTGTGAGCCACACCTGTTATATAAGGAAGGGGTGGGACTGAGCGTGAGGTGGAAATCGTCTCCAGCAATGAACGGGGAATCAGAACAGTCTTTGACCTCACGTTACACTGATAATTTTGTTTATTTTGTTTGTTTAAATATATGGAAGTAAATAAATCGGCCAAGGAAGGCAAAGAAATCAGCGCCTCCAGAGCTTTATTTGGATGGTTTTTAACGTGTGAGTCAAGAAGCGGATCCCTGTTGACGTGGCACAGTTTTAGATATCCCACAAGAATGGGCCACGACAGAAATACTCAAGTAAAGTACAAGTACCAGAGAGTTGTACTTAAGTACAGTACTTAATTAAATCTACTTAGTGACCTTACACCACTGACCAAAGGTCATGCAGATCAGTATACGAACTGTAACATCCAAAAGTCATGTTTGACGTTGCAATGAAAAATGGAAAAATGTAGAAAGTAATTCATGATATTTTCCATTTAGCTAATTGTAGAGTTGGACCTACATTAAATTCCAAATGGCCCTCAAAACAGTCTTGAATCTAACTTGTATTTTACCCCATCAAGTGAACTGTGGTGAATTTCAGTTAAACCTGTCACTGTGTTTCATCGCTCACCGCCTCCCGCTGGTCGTACTGAGTGATGAGGCCTTTCAGTTTCTCGGCCAGCGAGCCGTTCTCCTCGCAGAGTTTGGTGTTCCTGCCGCTGTGCTCCTCGATCTGCGCCTGGATCTCGCCCAGCGTTCCCTGGAAGTGCGTCGTGATCTCCTTCCTCTTCAGGTCGTCCTCCCGGCAGCGCTGCAGCGTCTCCTCCTGAGAGGGAAGAATGTAAACAACACATATCACTTTAATATATGCTGCATTTCAAACTGAACTTGTATCTGTGATGACAGACAGTCGGATCAGCCACAGACTGTGTCCCCTGGATAACCTGTCCCTATCATCTGTGTCCCCTGAATAACCTGTCCCTATCATCTGTGTCCCCTGGATAACCTGTCCCTATCATCTGAGTCCCCTGGATAACCTGTCCCTATCATCTGTGTCCCCTGAATAACCTGTCCCTATCATCTGTGTCCCCTGGATAACCTGTCCCTATCATCTGTGTCCCCTGGATAACCTGTCCCTATCATCTGTGTCCCCTGAATAACCTGTCCCTATCATCTGAGTCCCCTGGATAACCTGTCCCTATCATCTGTGTCCCCTGAATAACCTGTCCCTATCATCTGTGTCCCCTGAATAACCTGTCCCTATCATCTGAGTCCCCTGGATAACCTGTCCCTATCATCTGAGTCCCCTGGATAACCTGTCCCTATCATCTGAGTCCCCTGGATAACCTGTCCCTATCATCTGTGTCCCCTGAATAACCTGTCCCTATCATCTGTGTCCCCTGAATAACCTGTCCCTATCATCTGAGTCCCCTGGATAACCTGTCCCTATCATCTGTGTCCCCTGGATAACCTGTCCCTATCATCTGAGTCCACTTGAATTGTCTTCTCCATAATGAACAACAACAACAACAACAACTTGATTCTCTGAGTTTGAGATGTTTGAGATGTTTGAGATGTTTGATGTTTGTTGGCAGCTGCTGTCTCCTGGTAGAGACGACATGTGTTCAAACCCCCCCGACATCTCACTCTGACAAATGGCTTTCAGCTCAGATTACAAACCATCCAGAGGAGTGTCTTCACTTAGTTAAGAGAAGACCAGACTTGTATAATGAGCTCCCAATGATTCAGAGTAACTCAGGGCAATGATAACAGACAGCAGCTGATGCTTTGGTGAAGTGTTCACTATAATCTGAGGACTAAAGCACTTTCTAACGACTAAAACTAAAGCAAAAAGAGTTTTCTGTGACTTAGAGCAGACTAAAACCCAGACTTTAAACGCTGCGGTCATTTAGGATTATTTCTTACATGGATTAGTCTTCAGATTATTTCATACATTACTGGATTTGTGTATGAAAAAAACAGATTTGTACAATAATCTCTCAATGATTCAGAGTAGTTTAATGTAATGTTAACAAAGGTATCAACAGACAGCAGCTGATGTTTTGTGAAGTGTTCACTATAATCTGAGGACTAAAGAACTTTTCAATGACTAAACCAAAAAGAGTTTTCTGTGATTTAGAGGAGACTAAAACCCAGACTTTAAACGCTGCGGTCACTCAGGATTATTCTTTACATGGATTAGTCTTCAGATTATTTCATACATTAATGGATTTGTATGTGCAAAATGTCCATCCCAGTGTCTCAAAGTGCAAGGTGATGTGTTTACATGTCTAAAGATATTCACTTTAATATAAAACACAGAAAAGCAGCAGATCTCCAGATTACAGAGATTCTGAAACAGAATTTAAAGACATTCCTGCAGGAGAAGTGGATTGCACTCGAGTGTTATAATGGCACGAGATACAGACCATCGTTGCTCTGTTTGACACGAGACTCAGACTAAATACTAACTGATTCGTTAGTTGAGATGCACTGGAACAAATGCTGCTCCAAAAACAAGTTAAACTTTAATGAAAACAAGTTGTTTTCACTTGAAATGAGTCCAAACATCTGCCAGTAGAACAAGTGAACATCAGCTTGGTAAGATGTCTTGAAGTAAGACGGGATATTTAGATAAACCACATCTTCAATTATCAGCAGAACTCATTTTGAACTATATTTCACCAGAATCAGGAAATCTCAAAAGTAATTTTCTCATAAATATGTAAAAAAAGATGTGTTTCGTCTGAGATACGACTCAAAGTGAGATGTTTTGACTGAACAAGATGATGCAAGAGCCTGTATCTCACTGCAGTGTGACTCCTGAAGTTATCATGTCTGATATCAGGAGGAGAGTCATATTCTGACTAGATATTAGACACAGATACTGGGCGAGATGTTGAGTGGTTGACGTGTGTTCCTGAGGGTCCTCCTACCTTCAGGGTCTTGTTGTGTCTCTGCAGTTCTCGGCAGAGTCCCTCCAGTTTACTGCGAGCCAGAACCGCCCGACTGTGTTCGCTCTGCAGCTGATCTTTGTCCTTCATCACCTGCAGGAGCCTCTTCTGCAGCACCTTCAGCTGCTTCTGCTCCCCCCGGTGCTCCTCCAGCTGCAAACACACACAATATATAACATTATAGTGATTTAAAGTTCTTCTGCAGCATCTTATGGTCGCTGTAACGCTCCTCTGCCTGCAGGAGAATACACTCAAGGATCATTCACTGTCTCTCTGCAACACGGTTCTCAACCAAACGCAGGATTAGTCCATTTGTGTTTTTGAGGAAACACAAAGCATGACAAAACTAAAACAGCCACACCATGTGTTGTGTATTTTCTTTCGGTACCACTTCACAATAAGACGACCCTTATAAAGGGTTCACGAATAGTTTGTAATTCATTTAGTAATTAGGTTGTGAACACTTTATAAATCCTTAATAAGCTTTTATAAGACATGAGATAAACAGGGCGACTGTGACCGGTTGCTTGCCAAATAGTGAGCCCACATTTATCTGTACTGCTAAGCCTTATATTGGCTACCTAGCTTACTTCGTCTTCGTCATCAGCCAGCATCCTTGGTATCTGTTGCTCACTGAGTTGATTCTCGCTAAGTAGCCAATATAAGGCTTAGTCATCTTGCCAAATAGTGAGCCTGTGTTGATGAATGAAAACTATGTTAGAACTGGTTTATAAATGGTTCTTAATGATTAATAAAGTGTTTACAACCTATTTATAACCCCTTTATGAATCCTTTATAAGGGTAGTCTTATTGTAAAGTGCTACCCTTCTTTCTGATGTGAGTTATTATTTATTTTCTCACCAGCTCAGCGTGTTTCTTGATGATGGCCTCCAGCTTCTGCTCAGGAGTGTTCAGTTTGTTCAGACTCTGCATCAGGAGCATGGCTTCCTTCCCTGGAGAACATCAAACAGACATCACGTCAGAAATAACCTCAGAGTCACTGATTCTCTTGTTCTGCTCTTCTGCAAATATGATATCTAAATAATAATGATAATAATACTGATATACACCTGAACATCAGCAGGAGAGAACTCTTTAAAGTAGAGACACTACATACTGATATACACCTGAACATCAGCAGGAGAGGACTCTTTAAAGTAGAGACACTACATACTGATATACACCTGAACATCAGCAGGAGAGGACTCTTTAAAGTAGAGACACTACATACTGATATACACCTGAACATCAGCAGGAGAGGACTCTTTAAAGTAGAGACACTACATACTGATATACACCTGAACATCAGCAGGAGAGGACTCTTTAAAGTAGAGACACTACATACTGATATACACCTGAACATCAGCAGGAGAGGACTCTTTAAAGTAGAGACACTACATACTGATATACACCTGAACATCAGCAGGAGAGGACTCTTTAAAGTAGAGACACTACATACTGATATACACCTGAACATCAGCAGGAGAGGACTCTTTAAAGTAGAGACACTACATACTGATATACACCTGAACATCAGCAGGAGAGGACTCTTTAAAGTAGAGACTACATACTGATATACACCTGAACATCAGCAGGAGAGGACTCTTTAAAGTAGAGACACTACATACTGATATACACCTGAACATCAGCAGGAGAGGACTCTTTAAAGTAGAGACACTACATACTGATATACACCTGAACATCAGCAGGAGAGGACTCTTTAAAGTAGAGACTACATACCGATATACACCTGAACATCAGCAGGAGAGGACTCTTTAAAGTAGAGACACTACATACTGATATACACCTGAACATCAGCAGGAGAAGACTCTTTAAAGTAGAGACACTACATACTGATATACACCTGAACATCAGCAGGAGAGGACTCTTTAAAGTAGAGACACTACATACTGATATACACCTGAACATCAGCAGGAGAGGACTCTTTAAAGTAGAGACACTACATACTGATATACACCTGAACATCAGCAGGAGAAGACTCTTTAAAGTAGAGACACTACATACTGATATACACCTGAACATCAGCAGGAGAGGACTCTTTAAAGTAGAGACACTACATACTGATATACACCTGAACATCAGCAGGAGAGGACTCTTTAAAGTAGAGACACTACATACTGATATACACCTGAACATCAACAGGAGAGGACTCTTTAAATTAGAGACACTACATACTGATATACACCTGAACATCAATAGGAGAGGACTCTTTAAAGTAGAGACACTACATACTGATATACACCTGAACATCAACAGGAGAGGACTCTTTAAAGTAGAGACACTACATACTGATATACACCTGAACATCAGCAGGAGAGGACTCTTTAAAGTAGAGACACTACATACTGATATACACCTGAACATCAGCAGGAGAGGACTCTTTAAAGTAGAGACTCTACATACTGATATACACCTGAACATCAGCAGGAGAGGACTCTTTAAAGTAGAGACACTACATACTGATATACACCTGAACATCAGCAGGAGGGGACTCTTTAAAGTAGAGACACTACATACTGATATACACCTGAACATCAGCAAGAGAGGACTCTTTAAAGTAGAGACTACATACTGATATACACCTGAACATCAGCAGGAGAGGACTCTTTAAAGTACAGACACTGCATACTGATATACACCTGAACATCAGCAGGAGAGGACTCTTTAAAGTAGAGACTACATACTGATATACACCTGAACATCAGCAAGAGAGGACTCTTTAAAGTAGAGACACTGCATACTGATATACACCTGAACATCAGCAAGAGAGGACTCTTTAAAGTAGAGACTACATACTGATATACACCTGAACATCAGCAGGAGAGGACTCTTTAAAGTAGAGACACAACATACTTATATACACCTGAACATCAGCAGGAGAGGACTCTTTAAAGTAGAGACACTACATACTGATATACACCTGAACATCAGCAGGAGAGGACTCTTTAAAGTAGAGACACTACATACTGATATACACCTGAACATCAGCAAGAGAGGACTCTTTAAAGTAGAGACACTACATACTGATATACACCTGCACATCAGCAGGAGAGGACTCTTTAAAGTAGAGACACTACATACTGATACACACCTGAACATCAGCAGGAGAGGACTCTTTAAAGTAGAGACACTACATACTGATATACACCTGAACATCAGCAGGAGAGGACTCTTTAAAGTAGAGACACTATATACTGATACACACCTGAACATCAGCAGGAGAGGACTCTTTAAAGTAGAGACACTATATACTGATACACACCTGAACATCAGCAGGAGAGGACTCTTTAAAGTAGAGACACTACATACTGATATACACCTGAACATCAGCAGGAGAGGACTCTTTAAAGTAGAGACACTACATACTGATATACACCTGAACATCAGCAGGAGAGGACTCTTTAAAGTAGAGACACTACATACTGATACACACCTGAACATCAGCAGGAGAGGACTCTTTAAAGTAGAGACACTACATACTGATATACACCTGAACATCAGCAGGAGAGGACTCTTTAAAGTAGAGACACTACATACTGATATACACCTGAACATCAGCAGGAGAGGACTCTTTAAAGTAGAGACACCTGAACATGATCTAACAGGGTTTCTCACCGAGGTTTTTCAGCAGCTTTTTCTCCAGTTTCTGCTCTTTTCGGGACCCGGGGGTCTCCTTTGTGGGCGGGACCTCCTCTCCCTCCTCCTGGTCTTGGTCGGGGGGCGACTCCTCCTCTTGGTAGGTGCTGATGATGTCCTCAAGCTGCTGAGCCAGGTCCTCCGTCAGGTCCAGGTCCGGACACCCGGGGGCGAGACAAGCCTCCATTACTGTAAACTGTGAGGAGAGAGACATCAGATGGGCTTCAGAGGGTATTGAATAGAACATAATAGAATATATCTGTATTGTCATCATACAAAGTACAAGGATATTTATTTTGCAACTCTCACTGCAGTCCAAAAATGTAATGTTTCCCATCAAAAGAAGCCACTTTAAGTTTCTTAATTAAGAGCTAATGTAAGGAATAAATGTATTATTAAAAAGGTGAAAATAAATTAAAATTAATAGAAATAGTGTTTATATCAAGGGGATATAAAACATTACATTAAATAATATTAGAAAATATAAAAAGAAGAACTAACAGATTAAAAGTTAGAAAATGTTGCATTTTTAATAAAAAGTGATCAAACCGGTCAAAATAAGCCACTTCTTAATTAACAGTTAATATAAGGAAAAAAGCAAGAAAAAACTAACAAAATAAATGTATTCTTAAAAAGGTGAAAATAAATTAAAATTAATAGAAATATGATTCATATCAAGGTAAGATAAAACATTACATATAAATATTATCAAAAAAATGTAAAAATAAGTAGTATCAGATTAAAAGGAAGTAAAAAGATTGCCATTTAATAAAAAGTGATTAAACCCCGCAAATACAATATATTAAATCTACATTTTTCGAAGCATTTATGGCATTTTAAATAATTGTTAATCACCCTCAGCAGGTACAACCATTGTATAATTTAGTCATGCACACTTAACACAGCTTTAAATATATGTATTCTCTTTCGAAGGAGCACCACTACATGCGTTCCTGTAGCTGCTACTGACAAAAAGCACTGTTTCGGCCCAAAACAAGTCTAATATTCAAATACATATTTCCATTATTGACAAGAAAAGTGATTAAACGTGTGATTAAAGCCCCTTTAATGGTGTCTGAGTGGCTGTTCCTGTTTACGTGCAGCCTCCCTCATTGAACACATGGCACCTGTTCACACCAACAGCTATTTTAGGAACTTCTTAATATGGGCAAGTTATTTATTTATTTCCAATACACACTTATACACGGCAATGTCACTGTGTGCGCGTACAGAAAGCTGAATAATACACAAGTGACCTCTAATGTATTCAATATTTGATTAAAGTCGGCATATGCAAAATAAATTAAATCAGGAATTAATTACTGTAGGAGAAAGAGGAACAAATTGGTGCTAAATTTAGAATTTACCTAAATATTAACCAGTAAAATGTAGTTTTTCTATCCAATCTGTTAACAAATGACCCATTTTCAACATTGCTTCAAAAATACATCAACTCCAAACAAATGTTAGTACTTTTAACGATTAAAAAGAGGTTTAAAAACACGTCAAACACAGATTTAATGTCATTTTTTAAGGATTTTCACAGTAAAAGTCCCTAATGAAGAAGCACAGGGTCTTACCACGAGTGAGGTTCGGGGTGAGAAAGAGAGTCGAGGGTCTGAAGACTCACTGCCTCCAAAGAGACAACAGCTGTGATAAGAACATCCCAAAATAACCCAGAGAGAGGAGGGGAGAGGGGGGGGGGGGAATTACACTAAAACACAAACTGCAGGGCCCATTGTAATCTAAGCAGAGGAAGTCAAATACTTTGTTACTTAAGTATATCTTTCTGGTATCAGTACTTTACTCCACTACTTACGACTTTGACTTCTTACATTTTGAACCCAAATACCTGTACTTTCTACTTCTTACATGTTGAACACAAATACCTGTACTTTCTACTTCTTACATGTTGAACACAAATACCTGTACTTTCTACTTCTTACATGTTGAACCCAAATACCTGTACTTTCTACTTCTTACATGTTGAACACAAATACCTGTACTTTCTACTTCTTACATGTTGAACCCAAATACCTGTACTTTCTACTTCTTACATGTTGAACCCAAATACCTGTACTTTCTACTTCTTACATGTTGAACCCAAATACCTGTACTTTCTACTTCTCACATTTCCCAAACAGGCTGGTTCCTTTAGTTTGAATGTGTGTTTGGTGGCGTGATCATTATTATTTAGAGTCATTGCGTGCCTATTGATTTGAACACGATCCGTGTATCCATCATTTCCTGGTCTTCTCTAAAGAAGAGGGACCAATGAAAACGTTGTCATGTTGCCGTTGTTCAGAATGGAAACATTCATTAGCTAACAATGACATTATTGTTCTATTAATATAAAGGGAGGTCAGGTACTCTTTAAAACAGCTGCTAGTTATGGGTACTTTTTACTGAAGTACATTTCAAAGCCCTCTTTACTTTCACTTGAGTAAAGAAGTTTAGTCAGTACTTCTACTTTCACCAGAGTACTTTTAAACACGAGTATCTGTACTTCTACTTGAGGAAAGGATGTGTGTACTTTTGCCATCTCTGAATCTAAGAAGCGCTGAGTCATGGAAAGAGCTTCCTGTGTGAACATACTTAAATAATAGATGTCATCATGAAGACCCCCCTCTCTGAAAGGTTATGGTTAAATATGCTAATGAGGCTAATGCTAACTGCTGGTTGGTTTAGGAGAGATCCAGACAACTGGAACAGAGTTTAAAACGTACGGATATTTTTGTGAAAATTATTTGCAATATTTTTTTAATAAAAGTCAGAAAGTTTGAAAAGAAAATCTGAATATTTAGAGATTTATTTTTGGGAGAAATACATGAAAATATTTGGACAAAAAGACAAGTTCAATGTAGAAATAATAAGTTTGAATGTCCTAATTCTTATTTATTATATTTTTACTTTCCCTTCATGTTGGTAAATACTCGTGTGTGCTGCTCTTGCTCTTTTGCACTTTTTGCATAGCATGTATTTTGTTTTTGCCATGTTTGTAAAATGTAAACTTCTTAAATGTTTTATGTGAGGGACTGCGGATGGAAATGAGCTCAAAGCTAAATCTGGCACTGTTACGCTTGACACATTTGAATGTTTTAAGTGTTCATTACTGTGCATTGTCCCTGTGCAAATAAACGATTAAATGTATTTGGTTGTATTTTCACAGAAACACAAGTTATTTTCTTTTCTGTCTTCAGCTATTTTGTTTGTTGAGAAAAACAAGTTTTTAGCCACAATCTGAAACAGTTTTTGGGTTAGGGTCTCTCTCTGTCTTGTTGTGTAGAGGAGGGCACTGCTCCGAGAAAAGTGCTGGGTTTCATGGGAAAGGGTTTAAAGGAGGAAAACATGAATAATAAGTTAAAGAAAAACGAAATAATCTGCCACACACATCCTCGGGTTAGAGGTATATCCGATTTAAAGGTCCCATGTCATGGCCATTTCTACTGATCATAATTCCATCGTTGAGGTCTACTAGAATAGATTTACATTGTTCAATGTTCCAAACTCACATTGGTTTCTCATACAGCATCTCTGTATAGTATGTGTATTCACTCTCTGTCGGCGATACAGAGACAACAAGCGAAACTCATCCTGAGCACACACAAACACTCACAGCCGAAGTAAAAACAATAAGTGTGGCTTGATATTGAGTAAGAGGTTTCTAACGCTGTGAGAATGGGTCTGCGGAGAGCATTTCTCCACCATCCCAACTCGTCTATTACCAGCGTTCAGGGAGCTCTATGCAAGTCAATGGGACTCCCTGTTAGTTGAAAATGTACGCTAAAGGTCCTGGTGTGTGAGGAGCTCCCATGTCATGCTTTTCTGGTTCTGACCCGTCCCCTTGTGTTCTGTAGCTTCTGCATGTGAACGGTCTGCAGAGTCTCAAACCCTCAAAGTACACCCTGTAGTGAGTAAAACTCTAACACAGAGAAGACCTGTCTATGCTGCCCCAGAACGCCTCGTTGGACATTTCTCTTTTTCCATTGTTTGCTTCCTGGGTTCAGTGACGTGTGAACACCCAGATCAACAACAAATGACCTGATTGGCCCAAATGGACCAATCCACGGAGCACCTCACACACCAGGGTCCCTTGGCTAACTAACAGGGAGTCCCATTGACTTGCATAGAGCTCCCTGAACGCTGGTAATAGACGAGTTGGGATGGTGGAGAAATGCTCTCTGCAGACCCATTCTCACAGCGTTATAAACCTTTTTCTTACTCAATATCAAGCCACACTTATTGTTTTTACTTCGGCTGTGAGTGTGTGTGCTCAAGATGAGTTTCGCGCTCTCGCCGACCCGGAAACCACACCAGTAAGCCAGCTCACTGAGCAGCGAGCCTCGCAACGTCCCGACCAATCAGAGCACACTGGGCTCACAGGGAGGGGGGGGGGGCAGGAGCTCCAACAAGCCGTGTAGGACAGAGAGTGAATACACATACTATACAGAGATGCTGTTTGAGAAACCAATGTGAGTTTGGAACATTGAACAATATACATCTATTCTAGTAGACCTCAACAATGGAAATATGATCAGTAGAAATGGCCATGACATGGGACCTTTAATAAAATAAGCTAATGTTTGACCCCAAAAATGTGCTTTTAAAAAAGGGCATAGAAGTAAAAAAGAAGTTTGTGTTTCTCACAAAATACAGCTAAAAAACACCGGGAATGAAGTCAAAGAGAAGTTAATGTATCGCACAAAAAGAACAGCTGACACACAAAGAAAGACGGGAAAAAGAAACACGAACAAATATATTTGAAAACGTAGAAACAAAAGTGAAAAGAAGCACCTTTTTCTAACAAAACTTATCTGAAAACACTGAGAAAGAATGTAGGGGGTTTGCTCGCTACGAAAACCCTGAATAACAAGTTAAAGAAATACAAAAATAACTGCGACACACATCCGGGTGTTTGAAGCATATTGTCTTTAAATAACCCTGGATGTAAAAGTGGAGCACCAAACAGAGAAACCACAGTTTGGCTACTGAGGATTTATTTTTCTACCCCAAAAGATGTGATGAGAGGTAAAAATGATGATTCTTCCTCTGTGAGTTTACAGGGACGTTCATAGACATGAGGCACAAAGCAGTTCATTAAATATGAGTTCACAATAAAAACAATCTGAGTACGTAACGTAGGCCGGAGCGCGTCACCGTCTGCACCGTCAAATCACCACGAAGAAAATACAAGAAATCAAAGATACATGTTCAGAAAGTAAAGCAGGGCACCTTTTTAAATACTTTATGTAAACATGAGAGAACAACGTGTTTCTGATTTAAAATCCATCCAGTAACAGCGTTTCTTTAAAGATTAAATCTCATCTGCAGACTTTCTACGGAGGAGACCTGAAACTATGGATGCAGATATAAAAACACATGAAGAAACACATGAAGAAACGTCTCCAGCAACTTGACAACACGTGCAGCGTTAAGAGAACATTCAGCAACTTGAGGAGACATGGCAGCGTTTACTAAAAGCTGCAGAAACCAAACGCTGCAAGAGACCAGGGGACGCTAAAGAGTGACGCACAGAGCTGGGAGAACAGGGGACACTAAAGAGTGACGCACAGAGCTGGGAGACCAGGGGACACTAAAGAGTGACGCACACAGCTGGGAGACCAGGGGACACTAAAGAGTGACGCACAGAGCTGGGAGACCAGGGGACACTAAAGAGTGACGCACAGAGCTGGGAGACCAGGGGACACTAAAGAGTGACGCACACAGCTGGGAGACCAGGGGACACTAAAGAGTGACACACACAGCTGGGAGACCGGGGGACACTAAAGAGTGACGCACACAGCTGGGAGACCAGGGGACACTAAAGAGTGACGCACACAGCTGGGAGACCGGGGGACACTAAAGAGTGACGCACACAGCTGGGAGACCGGGGGACACTAAAGAGTGACGCACACAGCTGGGAGACCAGGGGACACTAAAGAGTGACGCACACAGCTGGGAGACCAGGGGACACTAAAGAGTGACGCACACAGCTGGGACACCGGGGGACACTAAAGAGTGACGCACACAGCTGGGAGACCAGGGGACACTAAAGAGTGACGCACACAGCTGGGAGACCAGGGGACACTAAAGAGTGACGCACACAGCTGGGAGACCAGGGGACACTAAAGAGTGATGCACACAGCTGGGAGACCAGGGGACACTAAAGAGTGACGCACACAGCTGGGAGACCAGGGGACACTAAAGAGTGACGCACACAGCTGGGAAACCAGGGGACACTAAAGAGTGACGCACACAGCTGGGAGACCAGGGGTGTTTCTCAATCGCGAGTACGCTTGCTTGGTAGCACATGTCTTCCGAGTCACTTCCTTTAGAAGCAAGGCAAGAATACTTCCTGGCATTCGGAAAACGAAGAGTGGAACAGGCTAGCAAGTGTGCAGGTGTGCGTCATATGAGAAGATATTGGCTTGGAAGCCAATATCCTCGAGATTGAGAAACGGCCCAGGGGACACTAAAGAGTGACGCACACAGCTGGGAGACCAGGGGACACTAAAGAGTGACGCACACAGCTGTGTGCGTCACTCTTTAGTGTCCCCTAGCTTTTAGTAAATGCTGCGCATGTCTCCTCAAGTTGCTGAATGTTCTCTAAACGCTGCACGTGTTGTCAAGTTGCTGGAGATGTTTCTTCATGTGGAACATTTGTGTTTTTATATCTGGGTCATTGTAAAGTGTTTGTACCTGTGGGCCACCGTACATTTTAACCTCTCAAAGAGATATAAACATCCACATAAAAAGTTTCAACACTGCAAAAAGACTTTAAATCATAGAAATACACCTTTATGTACAGAGAGATGCATCTGGTGCAGGATTAGCACTAAAGTATACCTTACAGTAAAGTGATATTGATTTCTGCAGTTAAATGCAAGACAACAGACCGTCCACTGATCATCATAGCCCCTTGAATTTTTGTGCAACAAGTTTCACAAAATGAGAAAAAAAACTGGAATGTTTCTAAAAAATTAACACAAATAAAAACTCCCTTATTTTCAAGATGAAAGCATGAAAGTGCATCGTCATGAAACGCTTCTGGTCTTGTGTGTGAGAGAAAAACGTAACCAAAGCAAAGACGTGGCTCAAACCGCTGCATAAGTACAGATATACCATATAAATAGTAGTCAAATATCTCAATAAGTGCTCACGTTCTAATATATAAATACATCTTACATCTTATCTATTTTTGTGCAATAGCAAATTCCATGCATTTTTTTTACCAAGATAAAAACCACGACATTTAGAAAAATGCAACATAGGAAACTTTTCTGTTTTCCTTTTTTTTTTTAAAAGATTGTTTCACAATAAATCAAGCTGCAGCCGGATCGACGGCACGAGAAACAAAGAGCTTTCTTCCCATAATAAATAAATAAAAGATGAAAAGCAAAGTAAAGGCACAGACCCTCGCCGCCGCTTCCGAAGCACCAAACTGCACGAGAAAAGCGTCTACTTCAAATTTGGTCAGACTGTTTCATAATACACACATTTCCCCTTATATAAATAGTGTTCAGTTACTGCACTACTGCATCACACCTCGATATGATTACATTAAACAACAGTCTATTCTCAAAGTACACATACAGTCAAATATTCGTATGCATCTAAGAAGGAGTATAAGTATCGTACAGATCCATAAATATAATTTATGTGCAATTGTATGCAAACTACTATGTCAGACAAAGGCATATTAGCATAATATCTTTCCGTATTGCACCTGCACCCAGCAATGATTCTCCGGTTCTCCGGTTCTCCTTCGGCACCTTTTCAAGTTCTCCTTCTTCTGTTTCGAGTTCTCCTGTTTCAAGTTCTTCTGTTTCAAGTTCTCCTGTTTCAAGTCCTTTTGTTTCAAGTTCTTCTGTTTCAAGTCCTTCTTCTGTTTCAAGTCCTTTTGTTTCAAGTCCTTCTGTTTCGAGTTCTCCTGTTTCAAGTTCTTCTGTTTCAAGTCCTTTTGTTTCAAGTCCTTTTGTTTCAAGTTCTTCTGTTTCAAGTCCTTCTTCTGTTTCAAGTTCTTCTGTTTCAAGTTATTCTTCCCCTTCTGTTTCAAGTTATCCTTCTTCTGTTTCAAGTTCTTCCTCTTCTTCTGTTTCAATCTCCTCGTCAAACGGAGCGATGTGCAACACCAGAGGGCGTTTATAAAGATCCTCTGAGGGGGTTAAATTTAAAGATGAGAGTGAGATGAGTTTCTCAGTGAGGTTCCTCTGTGGTGATCTTCAGCGAGGCGATGGCGTTTAGGCAAGTTTGTACTTCCTGTTCCGGGTTTTTCCCCGGGTTATTTTCTCCTCCAGCGTCTTCCACTGCAGATTCGATGCCCAGGAACGACCCCTCGCTGCTGGGGGTCGTCGGGGCCGAGGAGAGGGGGGCGTCAGGGCTGGAGGAAGGTGGAGGTGTGGAGGTGGAGGGTAACATCTGGTGTCCTCCAATGGGAACCAATGGGAGAAGAGAGCGGGTTGAATGCTGGGAGTGAAGGGGAAGGTGGCTGAGGAGGTTTTGGGGGGGCGACAAGCTGCTCCTCTGATCCTGGAAACAAAAGAGAATCAGAGTTCCTTTATTAGTGTTGCGACAAAAGTGTTTTTGACACAGCATTTAGTAAAGCATATTCCACATTTCTAAGTCTAGGGGTCTGGGGGGTCTAGCATCTTTGATGATAACTTGTTTCTTTGCCAAAGGCCGAAACTTCCCTTCATCTAAACCCTATTAACCTCCCGAACCTCCCAAACCTATCATCTCCATTTCAAAGGCTATCGTAGTTCTGAATCTGTAAAGAAACAGTCCTAAAGAAAACGTGGAAGCGTCGCCTATCCCAGATGTTCTGTCCCAAAACAAGGAAATAAACAAGGACATATTTGACTTGGGAATCTTTCCATAATTTTGGGGTCAAATGCTTAACCAGACTTTTGGTTTAGCTTCGGGCTGGGAATCAAATTGGTGAGTTTCAACTTATTTTCTTTGCCAAAGGCCAAAACTTCCCACCGCTATCATCCAAATCTAAAGCCTATTAGGTGCCGAACCTCCCGAAACCTATCATTTTCATCTCAAAGGTTAGTGTAGTTCTGAATCTGTAAAGAAACAGTCCCAACAAAACGTGGAAGGGTATTTCCAAGTCAGGGCTCGTTTAAAACACTCTCATTAAGTCTCCGTCCCAAAACAAGGAAATAAACAAGAACATATTTGACTTGGGAATCTGCAATGTGTTACCTTTCCACCATTTTGGGGGAAATGCTTCTTGGACTGTAGGTGTAGCACCAAATTGGTGAGTTTCAACTTCCTTTTCCAAAACATTATCAAAGGTATCTTTGCCCAGGGCCACACTTCCCACCAAAGATCATCCAAATCTGAACCATATTTTCAGAGGTTTATCAATTCATGATCGATCATCTCCATTTCAAAGACTCTTCGTGGTTTTGAAAAGAAAGAAAAGATGGCACATCCCATATATCAAAGTCAGGATCAGCTTGAATCTCACAAAGGAAGGCTATGTGCCGAAACAATTAAAAACAACAAGGAAATATTGATGTTGACAATCTGCAATGTGGAACGGTTTCACATCTTTTGGGAATTTGCTCATTGGCGTTTCGGATAAGCAACGGGACCTGAAGTGTTGAGGTGTATCTTTCTACTCCCAACATAAACAATCATATCTTTCCTTTGTTTATGTTTGAGTATAGATTCCTAACCCTATAACTCAGGGTTGTACAACTTCCTTACCGTCTCCATTTCAAAGTGTCCTTTCTCCATCTCCATCTTGATGGCCTGCGCTCGGCTCTTCTCCCCCTTGTGTTGATGTTGATGTTGATGTTGATGTGATCCTCTGCGTGGAGAAACCGCTCTGAGCACAACCCTCTGCCTCCCTCTGGCCGACGCCTCCCCGGGGGAGAGGGGCCTCTGAATGGGGGAGAAACTGGGAGAACTGGGCCTCAACGGAGAGGAATCCCAACGAGGGGAAGACCGTCCTCTCGGGGAAAGTTCCCTCATCGGGGACGGATAACGAAGACGTGATGGAGACGGTTCTCTGATCGGAGACTCCCATCCTGGAGACAGCAGACAGGAAGTGTACGGGTCGAACAGGAAGCTGGTTTGATCCGGAGAAAGCATCGTCAACGAGTCTTCGTCCGTAGACTTCGAGTATCCGTGGATGGTGGAGGTGACGGATAAAGACGTGACACCACACGATTGAGGACTCGTGCTCCTCGAACGCAGTTTCGGAGTCGAATCGCCGTCGTAATCCTCGTCCTCTTCGTCCTCTTCGTCAATCTCGTCTTCGTCCATACCGTCCGAATCATCGGCGTCTGAGAACTGGTGTTTGGTGGTGACCGATGTCTTTGATTCGTCCACTTCAAAAGAGAAACAGCAGTTTAGTTTGAGCTGAAATGCTGTCTTTTTCATTTGTATTAGGCTAGGACTCATTCCTGCACTCACTGAAGCAATAACCACTAAACCATTAAATGAACATCAGATAAGTCTATATAAGTCGGTACGTTACCCTTTTCAAGATTCAAGGCTTTATTGTCCTGTGCACATTAGCGACAGTAGATATGGCAATGAATAACGGAAGTCACAGACTCCTTCAACAGTGCACAATGAATATATATAGGACATAGAACAAATAAAACTAATTAAATAGTGCAAGTAAATACAAATCAAATAGAAATAGTGAGAAGAGTCTATAAACAAGTCAATTGAATATGATATATTATAGATACCCTGTTCCAGTATCTCCGTATCATCCATCGTCACCGACACTCCCAGCTCAAGACATTTCTTCATGTGCGCCTTCGACTTCATATGTTTAGTCAGGTTTCCTGTAAAACAAGAACACAAAGGATGAGAAACAGATTTGATTTGAACAAAATTTTCACACGTATTTCATGGAGCCAAAATAGTTGTCCTTTTATGAAAGAAAGCTGATCCATTTTAAGAGTCCAATTTAGAAAAGTCGGCAAAGAAATAATATAAATAAGTGGATAAAAAAGCTCAGATTTAACAACTAGAACAACTAGTGTTTATATATGCAAACTTATTTTTGTTTCTCTGACATGTACCTCATTCCTAATTCAAATGAATAGATGTGTATCAGTTAGTTTCTAGATAAACAAACTGGATATAAATAATGTGTATTTTATATTTTGGTATGGGCTAAAAAAGGCAAAACCGTGATCCATGAAGTCAGTCAAAATAAATATCTTTTTTTTGTACAATAAAACCCAAAAATAAATAACTTTTAAACGACAAAAATAGCAAGCATGAGTTCACAGGTCCTGCTCAGAACCATTCAGGATTTGGTTTCTAAATAATAGTTTTAGTTTAGATAAAGTTTCACAGTATTTCAGCTCATCATTATTATGTGATTAACATGATGATTCAGCCTCTATGGAGATAGACATATGACAAGCATGCTCATTTCTGACGTGGAGCTAATCTGAAGTAAACATTGAATACTGCTTTCTATTCCTCCATCTTGTGACTGTGTAACTCCCTCTCTTGGATATCAGCATGTGAAGGACACTGTTCAGGAACTAGTTGATGCTCTGTATGTGATGACTACTTCCATTCTGGAGAGGATCACAGATACATGGATCCTGAGATTGAAGCTCAAGCCGGGGACGAGTGATTATTAACATTTTTAAGTATTCAGAAAAAGTCATAATTTTGAGGAAAATTCATAATTTTGAGGAAAATTCATAATTTTGAGAAAAATTCATAATTTTGAGATTTTGAGAAAAAAGTCAGGATTTTCGAGATTTTGAGAAAAAAAGTCATAATTTTGAGAAAAAAGTCAGGATTTTGAGAAAAATTTATAATTTTGAGATTTTGAGAAAAAAAGTCAGGATTTTCGAGATTTTGAGAAAAAGGTCAGGATTTTCGAGATTTTGAGAAAAAAGTCAGAATCTTGAGAAAAAAGTCAGGATTTTGAGAAAAAAGTCAGGATTTTCAGATTTTCAGAAAAAAGCCAACATTTTGAGAAAAAACTCAGCATTTTGTACATGACAGGATGTATGATTACAAGAACCGGTATTCCTCCATCGTGTGACTGTGTAACTCCCTCTCTTGGATATCAGCATGTGAAGGACACTGTTCAGGAACTAGTTGATGCTCTGTATGTGATGACTACTTCCATTCTGGAGAGGATCACAAATACATGGATCCTGAGATTGAAGCTCAAGCTGGAGACCAGGGAGAGTTTTCTAACAATGTGTATGTACCACCTAATATCAATTCAAACACCATGACACAATTCCATCAGATTAATGGTAAAAACTTAGAGGACATTATTCAACTTCTGAAATCCTCCTCCTGCTGCCTTGATATTATTCCAACAGGATTTTTCAAAGATGTTTTTCCTTGCATGGCCTCAGATCTACTTCATATAGTAAACACATCTCTTCACTCAGGTATTTTTCCAGAGGCCCTGAAAACTGCAGTCATTAAACCGCTCTTTAAAAAGAATAATCTAGATGCCTCAGTAATGAACAATTACAGGCCAATATCAAACCTGCCATTTCTAGGTAAAATCATTGAAAAAGTTGTATTTCAACAGTTGAGTAACTTCTTGCATTTAAATAACTGTTTGGATGTGTTCCAGTCAGGCTTTCGTCCAAACCACAGCACTGAGACTGCTCTTGTAAAGGTCTTCAATGACATCCACTTAAACACAGACAGTGGCAGAACTTCAGTGTTAGTATTATTAGATCTCAGTGCTGCGTTTGACACTGTTGACCACAACATATTACTAGACCGACTAGAAAACTGGGTGGGACTTTCGGCAACAGTTCTAAATTGGTTTGAGTCCTACTTAAAGGACAGAAAAAACTTTGTTTCTATAGGTAAATACACATCTGAGTTGACAAATATGACATGTGGGGTACCTCAAGGCTCCATCTTGGGGCCTCTTCTCTTTAACATCTACATGCTACCACTGGCTCAGATAATGAAAAACAACAAAATAAGTTACCATAGCTATGCGGATGACACACAAATTTACGTAACAATTTCACCAGGAGATTATGCTCCAAAATCAATGACTGGATGTGTCAGAACTTTCTCCAATTAAACAAAGATAAAACTGAGGTAATGGTTTTTGGAGCCAAGGCAGAACGTATAAAAGTTAGCGCTGAGCTTCAGTCTGCAATGTTCAAAACAACAGATAAAGCCAGAAATCTAGGTGTAGTCATGGACTCTGACCTGAGTTTCAACAGTCACATTAAAACAGTTACTAAATCAGCCTACTATCACCTGAAGAACATACCTAGGATTAAAGGACTAATGTCACAGCAGGATTTGGAAAGACTTGTCCATGCTTTTATCTTCAGTAGACTCGACTACTGCAATGGTGTCTTTACAGGTCTCACTAAAACATCTATTAGAAAGCTGCAGCTAATTCAGAACGCCGCTGCTCGAGTCCTCACTAACACTAAGAAAGTGGATCACATCACTCCTGTTCTGAATTCCTTACACTGGCTTCCTGTGTGTCAAAGAATAGATTTCAAAATATTGTTGCTGGTTTATAAAGCTTTGAATGGTTTAGGCCCAAAATACATGTCTGACCTACTGCTAAATTATGAACCATCCAGAACTCTCAGGTCTTCAGGGACTGGTCAGCTTTCTGTCCCCAGAGTCAGAACTAAACATGGTAAAGCAGCATTCAGTTATTATGCTCCAAATATCTGGAACAAACTCCCAGAAACCTGCAGGTCCGCTGCAACTCTTACTACTTTTAAATCCAGGCTGAAGACTTTTCTTTTTGCCGCTGCTTTTAATTGAACTATTCACATCTTAAACTGCACTGTAACTTTTAACTTTTATCCATGTATTTTTTCTTTTAATGTTTATTTTATTATCTTTTCTTTTTAATGACTGATTTTAAATGCCATTTTTAAAATGTCTTCCATTTTTGTAAAGCACTTTGAATTACCTTGTGTTGAAAGGTGCTATATAAATAAACTTGCCTTGCCTTGCCTTGCCTTACCTTTAGTCTTGAAGGCGAAGTTGCAGACCCTGCAGACGTACGGCCGGACGTCAGTGTGAGTTCGGATGTGTTTCTTCAACATGCTCGGCTTCTTGCAGCGGATCCCACACTCCTCGCAGATATATTTCCCCCGACCGCGACCTCGCACATACACATACTCCTCATTGGACTTATACCTGGAACACAGAAACAGTTTCAGACTTTAGTTCCACCTGGAGTAAATCCACTAGCTACCCTGCAGTATACAAAGTCATTCAAACTAGCTGCACCTTTACCAGCTTTGAGAACACTTTCATGATCAATCATTATAAAACATATCATATATATTATTCTGAAATGGACCAATCTGCACAATGAATACTTTTACTGTCGCTACTTTCACTATATTTTGATGAGAATACTTTTATACTTTCACTTGAGGAACATTTTGAATGCAGGACTTTGACTGTAACAGAGTATTCCTACACTCTGGTACTTCTACTTTTACTCAAGTACAAGACCTGAGTACTTCTACTTTTACTCAAGTACAAGACCTGAGTACTTCTACTTTTACTCAAGTACAAGATCTGAGTACTTCTACTTTTACTCAAGTACAAGATCTGAGTACTTCTACTTTTAATAAAGTACAAGATCTGAGTACTTCTACTTTTACTCAAGTACAAGATCTCACTACTTATACTGTTGCTACTTTAACTATTTTGATGCCAATACATTCTACTTTTACTTGAGGAACATTTTGAATGCAGGACTTTTACTGTAACACAGTATTCCTACACTCTGGTACTTCTACTTTTACTCAAGATCTGAGTACTTCTCCTTGTACTGTAGTACTATATCTGAGAACTCCCCCCCTCTGAGTCTTCCCCCCCCTCTGAGTACTCCCCGCCCTCTGAGTACTCCCTCCCTCTGAGTACTCCCCGCCCTCTGAGTACTCCCCCCCTCTGAGTACTCCCCCCCCTTTGAGTACTTCCCCCTGTCCCTAAATAGCGCTGTGCTGTCAGCAGAGTGTTATGATAGCTGATATCTTCACTGACCCCCCCCTCAAAGATCTTGATTCGAGTTGGCAGCGTCTGAACGGCCTCCCGCTCTTTCCACTCGTCTTTGGCAGATTTCACTCTGATTTCTTTCTCCTTCTTCCCGTAAGTGGCGTCGTTCTCTCGGGGCTCCGGTTTCCTCTGCAGCTGAATCGGATGAACAAACATTTTGTTAACATCCATTTTAAAGCGGACACCGTATCGACGGCGTAACGCGATGCTGACAATATTGAATGTCAAACATGGCGCTACACGAAATGTTTGGCAAACATGGATAATGCTGAAGGGGGAAACTCTACAGAAAACCTCAATTAAATTAAACTACCTAATTAATACTCATGTACTCTCTGAAAAACTATGATTTTAGGGTCAGTATTGCAGATTATATTCTAGTTAAGTCGATTTTGGTGTAAAAGAAACAAGAAAATTGTTAAAAATGTCTATCTCAGGTCCTCAAAGCCCATGTCGATGTGTATAAATGTCCAAAGATATTCTGCAATTTGTTTTGTTATGAATATAAGTAATAATTGCATCTTGAAAATTAGCAATAATAGTAATACATTGAAAAGTAACACTAATTACACAATGAGGGTTTTGGATGTAATATGTTTGTGTTTTTCAAAAATTGACCTGGTTTATTTGCAACTAATTGCAGCTATTGTCAGTATATCTCAATGTTAACAACCCATATCTAATGCAACACATTGCACTAATGAATTAAAGCTCATATCTGCAGATTTGGCCAAAATATCTAAGAGTTTGACAAATGTTGGGTAATAAAGCATTCTACATTTCAAATCCCTGAGAGACTACAGGTCTGAAAGAAGACTTGTTATGTATGCAAAATGGACCAGTGTGAAATAAAAAGGTATTTAGGATATTTCCTCACCTGCTCCACGGTTTGCCTCCACATGAGGAGCGACGACACCAACTTCCCTGCACCTGGTTGACCAATGGCTGCCTTGCTATAGATAACAGAGCCTCCTTTCTGTTTGGATCTCAGTAGAGCCAAGGCAGCGCTTGTGTTCAAATCCAAAGGGTTTGGGTTGTGGCTACTGACGCCCCACGAGGCGTAAACGGAGGAAAACGGGGCGTCGCTGTGCAAGTAGTTCGGCTTTGTGTGGTTCAGGAAACACCAGCTAACCCCTGTCGTCGTGCGAAGACTCGGAAACGATCTTGAATGCTCGGAGATCAAAACATCTTGATTGGTAACGAGTTTCGCCACCAATTCCACTCGCTTCTCAACACCAATTTCTTTCCCGTACGGAGGCGAGCTGCTTTCCATCGTGGATTCGAGTCGTGTGATAACCTGAGGTGTTGACGCTCGCCCCTTCTCTTCGCTCAGGTAACATTTCCCTAGCTCCACGGCGCTCAGTTCCTCCACGATCTGCCCGAACATCCGCTCCTCTTTCACCCGTTTCTGCTGCTTCACCTCCATGAAAAGATCCAGGCTGCTGGCGGGCGAAAGCATCCGTTTGTTGGCGCCACCACTGGAGGCGTTGGTGATGGAAATGGTTCTGGACGTCAGAGAAAGAGGAATGCCCGTTTTCAGTTTAGCCGACGACAAATCGAGAGCTTCCGTCGACGTCTGTCTGGAAACACGAGAGATCTGAGTCTGAGAGGCGGCGCTTTCGTACTGATTGTCGAAAATCTGTGATACTGACGTGTACGTGATGCTGCCGTACGATGGCACGTGAGTTTGTAATCTCACGGGAACTAAGAGGCTCGGATGGGACAGCTGGGGAAACGTGTTCCCGGTGGAGAATATTGGCAAAGTGTTGCTGAGGTGAAACCCTTGCTGCCCCACTTCAGTTTCCATATTCAACGATTCCTGCCTCACCAAATCCCCCCTCATTCTCTCCCTCGAATCCACGTGTCTAAGTTTAGAAGTTTGCGTAAGGCTACCGTAATCGAACGATATGCTACGAGCCTCTGGTAGTTCCTTGCGTAAGTTACAAGGCGCTTGTTCTGAAGACGATCGCCTCATTTCGTGTTGTTGTCTCTGGTTGAGTAGCGATAAGTTATGAACGCTTCCCGGCACCGCCAGAAGCTCCAACGGTTTTCCAAACTCATCTTGTCGGGCGGGCGACTTCAAAACCTCCTCCCTGTCGAAGGAAAAGGTGGAGCAATAAGATAAGTTGCTGTCTTGGCTTGGACTTCGGGAGAGACTTGTACACGCCGACTCAAAACTAGATTCCCCGGAGGAGTGCTCGATGTCGGCCAAGCGGAGCCTCTTCTTCTTCGGGGGGAGTTTCTCCGGAGGGAATTGTGCTAAGGTTTCACTCCTCTGAGGCCACTGAAACTCCTCCTTCTCCGGCTCTTTTACCTTCACCTCGGGAGCTTTTTCTGGGCTGTCGGGCTCCACCGTCACCCTGATTTCTGGGACTTGTATGCTGGGTTGCCGCACCAATTTGGGGATTTGAAACAACTGATCGCTCCTCTCCAACGATTGACTCGACTCCATCGCTTGAAATGAAATCCCTTCCTGTCTCAGCGCGTGATACTGTTCAGAGTGAGGCCTGTTTATGGAGTTTGTGTGCTGGATAACAGATATTACATTCCCTAAAGTTTTACGACCAGACATTTCCGGACTCACTGATATGTCAAACTGCGGGTGTCCTAACGCCATAATGCCAGCCACAGCTTGTTTAACATCGTAGTCTTTACTTGAGTCAAACATCTCCTCACATTCATCCCGTCCCTCGTATTGTCCCGACAGATCTTCCTCTTCCCGTTTCTCTTTCCGACGTTTCCGCGTTGCCAGCTCCATGGCGTGTCTCTGATGGCTCGTACCAGAGGGGCAGCTTTCTATTTCCAATCCTGAGATCATTGACACACCGCTCTCCATCATCTTTCCGCCGTCTACATCTACGTGGCTTTCATTTGCCGAGTGTTCGAAGGCAGCTTGTCTCCGGAGTCTCCTCATACCGCCGATACTCGCTCTCTCGTCAAACGAATGGCTCCCTCTGAGTGCGGGAGGCATATTCAGACACACATCGGAAGACGTTGGCATCGAGTTGCTTCTGATCAGAAACGCATCAGACTGAAGTTCCTGAACGTCCTCCCTCAACAACGACTTTGTGTTTATTTTAATCGACTCGACCACGTCTTTTTCCTGGGTGAAAACGCGGGACACGCCTCTTTCCGAGCGTCTTTCCGCCGCCTCGGCAAAAGCGGCGGCCGTCTGCTTTGGGCTCGGTTTGTAGCATTTCCCGAACATTATTTCCTGATAGGATTTGGCGTTGGTGTTCGGAGGCCCGGTTTGGTGCTCTGTGCTTTCTGAACGAGAGAAATATCCCGAATCCGTGCTGCCTTTACTGGATTGACTCGGCAACGACAGATTATTCTCTGAATCGCTGCTTCTTTTCTCAGAAAGCCTCAGAGCCAGCCTTTGTTTGATCGCGCTGGATTGAATCGAACGACTTGTCTCGGCATTGATTTCTTGTGGAACATCCTGGATTCCCTTCTTCTGAGAAATGAGATTGAGTACTTTTACAGCCGTGTTATCCGATGCCTCCGCCGGAGAGTCAAGAAGCAGCAACGGGTCGCTAAGAGTGTCCTCATCCGAGTCTGATGTTTGCTCAGCATCGGAGAACAACTCGCCTTCCCCTTCAAACGAATCGATACTAGCGAGTCCTGACATCGAACCGGCTTTGACGGCGTGAGCGTGAGACTTCCTGTGTTTGTATAAGTTACTCTTGGTTTTGAAGGAGAATCCGCAGGGGATGCACGGATAGGGTCGTTCTCCGGTGTGCGATCGAATGTGTTTCTTCAGGACGCTCGGTTTGGCACATGCTCTCCCACAATAATCACAAACATACTTCCCGGGCTTTTGTGGTTTCTGCTCCATCTTCTCCTCGGAAATCGGGTCCATGGCTGAATGGGAACACTGGTGAACTTCAGGTGAACTGGTGGACTTCCTGTGGGATGCAAGGCCAGGTGATTGTGTAGAAAATGCAGCTTTTTGCCTGCCAATGGGAAACGGTTTAGTCGATTGCAGTGGATTCGCCTCATAGTCTTGATGGATTGAGGACTGATCTTCAAACGATTCTTCGCTCCGACCTTCCTCCAGTTGTCGGTGCCATCCTTTAGTTTTAGTTTCCACTTCGTGTGCTTCCTCCGAGGGGATATCTCTCTTTGAAACCACATTTCCATCATAACCCTCATCGGAGCTCCTCGCCGCCGCAGTAGTTTCAAGTGACTCCATGAAATCCGATGTCTTTGGGATCGATTTTCAAGGGCAATAATCTGTTATGTAACTGTAGTGATATTAACATTCATGTGAACGGATGTCGGGGAAGGGTCACCTGGAAGAAAAGCAGACAGAACATACAGTTAGAAAGATATGCATGTATAAGAAAAACATTCTTCTAAATATGCTGCAGATATATAAATCACAATATGACAAATGTTTGCAAAAGTTAAATCGAATAATGCAAATTGAGCTTTAATTGAATCCTTAATGTTGACAAAAACTGCACATGTAGAATTAAATAGAAAAGTTCAGGGAAAATTAGTTTGGTTTTTAGATTTTCCCAATTACTGTACAAATTAATCTACGCATTAATTGATAGTTGCTGTTTTATCCAAACTAAGACCACATCATGTTGGACTACTTGGTCAGAGTTCACCCTTCTTAAAAGTCGTCCAAATAAAATTGGGAGTATAAAAATGATAACGAGCTCCTTCACAGCGGGAATGGAAAAAAACACATAATTTTCTCTTTAACAGCTTTTTAAAAAACACCAAGGAACCTGGTGTGTGTGTGTGTGTGTGTGTGTGTGTGTGTGTGTGTGTGTGTGTGTGTGTGTGTGTGTGTATGTGTGTGTGTGTGTGTGTGTGTGTGTGTGTGTGTGTGTGTGTGTGTGTGTGTGTGTGTGTGTGTGTGTGTGTGTGTGTGTGTGTGTGTGTGTGTGTGTGTGTGTGTGTGTGTGTACACATTATACATTTCCAGCCGTAAATATCTCTATGATAAATGTGCAGCCTTTTTTTAGGTCGTATGCATAACTTACAACTGTTTGTAAAATCTATGTTTTACGTTTCACTCCTTGGTGTTTTTCAAAAGCTGTTAAAGAGCTCTCATCAATATTGTCGGCTTTACCCCAAAAGAAGTCAATGAAGGTTTGCATGCTGAGAAAAAGGGACAATCATCAACGCTAACAACAAACAAACTGTGCAGAAGATGGGAAGAAGTACGACGACTGCAACAAAATCACCAATAAACTCCAATACGTCCAAAACTCCACCCTACTTCTACTTTTACTCAAGATCTGAGTACTTCATGTAATGTCCTCTCTGTGGGACTAATACAGGTATACTGATTCTGATGTTCTATTGTACAAATACACCTTTCTCACAGTTTACAATTCTTTGTGCACCCTATATTCAGAACATGTCTAACAAATGACCCTGAGGTAAAGGGGTGGGGACAAAATGGTCTGTTTCCAAAAGGTATATGGACATGTCCCCAGTATAAATGACAGCTAGGGTCAGAGTCTTCACGCTGTCCCGTACGCAGAGTGGGAAGTATTGGAGTACAAATACTTTGTTACTGTACTTAAGTACATGTTTCTGGGATCAGTACTTTACTCCACTACTTATTTTTCTGACGACTTTTTACTTTGACTTCTTACATTTTGAACACAAATACCTGTACTTTCTACTTCTTACATGTTGAACACAAATACCTGTACTTTCTACTTCTTACATGTTGAACCCAAATACCTGTACTTTCTACTTCTTACATGTTGAACCCAAATACCTGTACTTTCTACTTCTTACATGTTGAACACAAATACCTGTACTTTCTACTTCTTACATGTTGAACACAAATACCTGTACTTTCTACTTCTTACATGTTGAACACAAATACCTGTACTTTCTACTTCTTACATGTTGAACACAAATACCTGTACTTTCTACTTCTTACATGTTGAACACAAATACCTGTACTTTCTACTTCTTACATTTTGAACACAAATACCTGTACTTTCTACTTCTTACATGTTGAACACAAATACCTGTACTTTCTACTTCTTACATGTTGAACACAAATACCTGTACTTTCTACTTCTTACATGTTGAACACAAATACCTGTACTTTCTACTTCTTACACTTTGAACACAAATACCTGTACTTTCTACTTCTTACATGTTGAACCCAAATACCTGTACTTTCTACTTGTTACATTTCCCAAACAGGCTGGTTCCTTTAGTTTGAATGTGTGTTTGGTGGCGTGATCATTATTATTTAGAGTCATTGCGTGCCTATTGATTTGAACACGATCCGTGTATCCATCATTTCCTGGTCTTCTCTAAAGAAGAGGGACCAATGAAAACGTTGTCATGTTGCCGTTGTTCAGCATGGAAACATTCATTAGCTAACAATGACATTATTGTTCTATTCATATAAAGGGAGGTCAGGTACTCTTTAAAACAGCTGCTAGTTATGGGTACTTTTTACTTAAGGACATTTCAAAGCCCATACTTCTTTACTTTTACACGAGTATCTGTACGTCTACTTGAGTAAAGGATGTGTGTACTTGTCCCACCTCCCGTACATAATCCCGTCCGGAAACCTCTCAAAGTGAATCCCTCTTCTCTCCGGTTTCACATCTTTAGCCTCTGAGGTCGTCTCCATCGTCTCCGTTTCAGACGCTGTCCTCTTAACGAGGTTACGTAAGATTATCTGGTTCAGACCCTCTGAGTTCCCCTTAATTAGGACATCCTCCTCCTCCTCAGGCGCTAAATAACCAAGGTGACTCCACAGAGACGTTCAGGGATGATAGGCTCCCTTTTCTCAGCTTTATTTGTGGCTGTTTTGTGCTCCTGCAGCTCTGCTTTCCGACTGATTTGAACGCCTCTTATCGTTAGAGAGAGGGTGGATAATGAAGGATGGCGAGGGGTGTGTGATTCAACAATAATAATAATAATAATGAATATGTTATTACTTCAACAAATCAAATTAATTTGAACTGACATGTAGAACATTTTAGAGTTATTTTTTATTTATTATTAGTTATATATTTTTCTTCTTGTTTATTCGTTCGTACAGTAGATATATTTTCTGTATATTAATATTATTTATTATTCTTCATATTTTTTCTTTCTTTATCAATATATATTACAAAATGTTTTAATTTGTATAATTTGTTTCTTGCCCATTTTTCTTGTCTTTTACATGTATTTATGTCCTATATTTGCTTTGTTTAGAAGCCTGGGACTTCAGCACACACACTTCCCATCACCACATCTACACTGAAGCTGTGCATAAGATAATAAAGCCTTTGAATCTTTGAATAAAAATACCAAAAATAACAAAAAGCCTTTCCAATTTTACCTCAAATACACATTTTCCCGGACGGATTTGAACGCCTCTCGCTGCAGCGCTAGAGAGGCGGATAATGAAGGATGGCGATCTGTGTTTTCAACAGGGAGGTGAATGAACTAAAGTGGGGGGGAAAACACACACACATTCAAAGGCCTGGCAGCAGCAGCAGCAGCAGCAGCAGCAGCAGCAGCAGCAGGGAGCCCCCCCCCCCCCCCCCCCACACACACACACACACACACACACACACACACACACACACACACACACACACACACACACACACACACACACTCACACACTTCAAGGTCGACCTGACCTCATTGCTTAGTATTTTCCATCCTCGGGTGCAGAGTGACAGCCCGATAAGAGACAATGCAAACCTCCAGAGTGTAACATGCAGAACATATGACACAGCATGACGTCCACACACAGCGGCAGGTGGTACAGTGGTTAAACTGGGGTACACTATGTCCGCATGCACGGGGGAGACAATGAGAGGATCCATTAAAAAAAATCGTACATGAAGCACACACACAGCGGGGGGGTGAGAGAGAGAAAGCAGCTGACATTCACACCTCAAATAATAATCCTGATACCAACCTGACATTTGAAAAGCCCCCGTTCCCATGTCCACGGTCACATTCAGGACCCCCGCTGGGCCTTTTTTAGTCCATTTTGTCCGTTCTGGAGGTGCCTGGGCGACAGTACGGAGCTAAATGACCGAGTAAGAGTCCCATCACCGGGCGTACATTTAACGGATCTATTGATGCAGCCGGTCACCGGAGAAAATACCCGAGCGTGACGTGAGCCCAGCACAGAAATAGCAAAGGGGCCCGAGGAGGGGAAGCACGAAGGCCCACCATTCAGGGCTCTTTCAGCTGCCTCACACTGAGACAGAGAGAGGGAGGGGGGCATGTCAGGATAAAATGGGAGGTATGCTGCACATTCCTGCACTACACTACCATTTAAATATATTATTCACACACGATTTCTATTTTGTTTTTGTATTTATTTAGTGTATTTATGATTCTTCACGTCTCTTTTCTTTTTTTTCTTTTCTTTTTAAAAATAATTTGGGGGGGGGGCATGTCCGTGTAATGCAGGAGCATACCTCTAATTTTATCCATTTAAATATATTATTTACAGACAATTTCCATATTGTTTTTGTATTTCTTGTTGATTTTTAATTAAATTATACTGTCCATATTTTTACTGTATTTTTTCTTATTTATAAAAGTTATAATAGTATATTTGCTCTTATTTAATTTTACTTTGTTTATGTTAAACTAAATCAAATTCCTGCAAAACCTTTCCACTTTTAATTATTAATATACTCTACATATTTTCATACAGTCATTTTTCATATACTGATTGTATTTTATTGTTTATTTTCATTTTACAATAGTTCCCATTTATTTTAGATTTGAACTACCTCTTAAAAATCTGCACTTAATGGGACGAAGCCTGTGAGCTAGTTCAAGCAGTCAACTCGAGCACCAATGATACATTAACACCTGAGGCACCTCGTCCCTCTTACAACCAACCAAACACATTCTCCTAAACATGCCGCTCTATTTAAGCTGCCAGGTCTGCCTGCCTCTGCCTCGCTATGCTGCTGCTGCAAGTCATGTTCATGTTCCTGCTGCTGTGTTTCATGTTGCTGCTGCTCGCCGGCCCCACCACTACCCCAGCTTCCACCCCAGCTTCCACCCCAGCTTCCACCCCAGCTTCCACCCCAGCTTCCACCCCAGCTCCCACCCCAGCTTCCACCCCAGCTCCACCCCAGCTTCCACCCCAGCTTCCACCCCAGCTTCCACCCCAGCTTCCACCCCAGCTTCCACCCCAGCTTCCACCCCAGCTTCCACCTGTAGGCTCGG